GGCACTTATGCTGCTGAGCTAAATCCCCAGCCCCGATTTCTCCACTTCTTTGAAGCAAAATCCAGACGTGTTTTCTTTGTGAAAGTTTCAGTGCCTATATGCATAAGACAAAAGCTTTTTTTTTTTTTTTTAGGGGGCTGGGGATTTAGCTCAGTGGCATAAGAACCTGCTTTGCAAGCAGGCGGTTGTGAGTTCGATCCCTGGTACCAATAAAAAAAAAAAAAAAAAAGCTTTTTTTTTTTTTCTGAGACAGGGTTTCACTGTACAGTTCAGGTTGGCTTGAACTCACTATGTATAGCCCAGGCTGGCCTCAAATTCAAAGCAATCCTCCTGTCTCAGCATCCTGCATGCTGGAATTACAGGCATGTGCCACCTTGGCAAAACAAGATTTTAAGACAGAGTACCTCTAAGGACAGAATATTTGTGTCTCTCGAGGTCTGTATGTTGGAAATCATAGCCTGGTGTGCCGGCATTAGGAGGTTGACATTTGGGAAGAGATTTAGGGGATGAGGTGGAGCCGTCAGCATGGAGTTAGTGTCCTCCAGGGCTAAACTGAGCATTTCTCTTGTGCCAACTGAAGGCCTAGCAGGAAGACCCTGTCAATGAGCCAGGAAGGGACCCACCAGACACCAGTGCGCTGCCGCCGGTGCTGGGCCTCCTGGCCTCCTCAGTGTGAGGAGGCCGTTTCCACTGCCTGTGAGCCATCTGGCCTGTGGTGTCTTCCAGCTGGAACAGACCATAGACGGTGTCATCACCCAGATCTCCAGCCAGTGTCTGCATGTGCAGTTGGCTTAGCCATGAATGTGGACTTGTGCTTTGTGTCCCCGACAGCCCAGATGAGTCCCTGACACTGCCCCTGATTGCTCTGCCGGTCACCTTTACTTTAGGTCACCACTGTGGTGCCCATGTTCTTGGTTTTCCTCAAAATGCATCTGTCAAAGAAGCTCGAGTTTCGCTTAGGGTTTGCATGTATACCTTTGGCTTATTTGAGGTCCCCCCCCCCCCTTTTTGGCTCAGGCTCTCACCATGCAGTTCAGGCTGGCCTTGGGCGCCCTCTCTAGCCCAGGCTGATCTCGAATTTGCAAATGATTCTCCTTTCATTCCCATTTTATTTAACATAGTCCTCCATTCTCTCAATGTCCTAGAAATTGGTTGTTGTTTTTATTTTTCCCATTTCCTGTTTATTTGCACATGTTGTACAAAAGCAGAAAAACAAACATTCCTCTCAGACATCATTAGGGGCTTCAGCTGCGGACACAAAGGCAGCGAGGAAGGTGGTGGGTGGGTGGGCTCAGTGTGCCCGTGGGGCCTGGGGTCCCCTCTCTGGGCTGTGCCACTCCCTGCTAGCAGCACGAGAGTGGACACCAGAGCAGCTGAACTCGCTCCTCCCGGCTCACGTCCTGTGCCAGGGCCAGTTCCCTCCTCCCTCACCTCCAAGGCAGCGCAGAAGGAAAGGCAACGTGGAGGGGCCGTGGACACTGCACAGAGCACTGCGGCAGGAGCCGGCCCGCTCTCCTGTGTGTGCAGGTGCGTGTGCTTATTCTGCTCTCACTGTGTGAGTGCCCTGAAGCGCACGGGCATCCCTTCTGCTGGTTCAGCCCTGAGCTCTGATGTGAACTCTGCTGTAAATCTCACCAGACGGGCACCTGGACAGCACAGCGACCACAGAAGAGCTCGTCCAGAACGTACCCGTTGGCGACAGAAGGGACTATGGCCAAGTCAGGGGTCTCAGGGCCAGCACAGCTGGTCAGGCTACTCCAGCTCTCAAGGGAGAGAGCCCCTTCCTCGCCATGTGATAAAGGGGCTGAGCACAAAGACCTCGGCTGCAGCTCTGGGCTCCCTCCCTTACCGACAAGGGGGCTAGCTGTCCCACTCTCTCTCCATTGCACAGTAAAATGAGTTTGCTTCCCCATTTCTCTTCCCTTTCTGATAAGGCGATTTAGTTTCTCCTTCTGAACTTATATAGCTAATTCTTTTACTGATGGAAGGGTTTTTTTTTTGGGTACCAGGAATCAAACTTAGAACCTTGCGCCTGCCTGGCAGGCACTTATGCCACTGAGCTATATCCCCAGCCCTTACATTTTGTTTTTGTTTTTTGAGACAAGGTCTTACTTCGTAGTTCGGGCTGGCCTTGAATTCACAGCCATCTGCTTGCCAAAGTGCTGGGATTACAGGCATGAGCTACCATATCTCAGGAGGTGTTTTATGAACCCTAAATAAAAATCTACCCTCACGTGATGTGATAGTACCTTTTGTACTTTTTTTTTAAGCAATTTCCTGGATGATTTTTTTTTTAATAGTAACAATGTTTATTTGAAAATATGAAGAGGGAGAAGCTGGCTCTGCAGAGTGATCTTGGGCTAATAGGAGAAAAAGCAAACTGAGAGTACACCCTGGAGCACGCAGGGCCAGCCACTGTGAAGAAAGTCCTGACAGCAAGTCCAGCCATTTTTAAATTAAAAGAAATCCCAAGGTTGGGTATAGTGTCAGCCATCTATAATCCCAGCACTCAGGATGAGGCAGGAGGACTACCACAGTGCTGAGCCTGTCTGCACGACATAGTGTAAGGGCAGCAGGACTACGTAGTGAGACCCTGTCTCAAAAAGAAAATTCCATTCATCTGTGACTTGGTATAGTTTAGGAAAGAGGAAATACAGGTAGGTGTGATGGCACACACCTATACTCCCAGCACTCCTGGTGGCAGAGGAAGAGGACTGCAGGCTGGGGTCCTGATAGGGTTACGATCAGTTGGTCTGGGCTGGAACTGTTCAGAGTGGGTCCACTCTGGTTGGAACTGGACTAGACCAATTTGGACAAGTTGGAACCATTTGGAACTGGTATGGGCTGACTGGAACCAGTCCAGTCCAGTCAGAACCGGTCCAGTCTGATCAGATATGGTCAGGTCTGGACAGACATGGGTGGAACCAGTCAGGGTTGGTTGGAACTAGTCCAGTCGGGAGCTGATGGAACCAGTTGAAACAGATTGGAACCCATCTGGGCTCATTGGAATTGGCCAGGACCAGCCAGAACCAGTCTGGGTCAGTTGGAACCAGTCAGAATGGTTAGACCTGGCTTAGTGCAGGTGAGGCCTATTCATTTTATGACAGTCTCTCTGTGTAGTTCAGGCTGGCCTTGAACTTTTGGTAATTCTGCTTCAACCTCTCACTGCTGAGATTGCAGGGGTGCATCACCATCACCACATCCTACTCAGATTTTATTAATTTTTTTTTAGGGGGCAGGGACTTGAGACAGGGCCTCTCTATGGAGTTCAGGCTGGCCTCAAAGTCACTGGGTAGCCCAGACTGGCCTTGAATTCGCAGCAACCCCCTGCCTCAGCTTCCCAAATGCTAGGATTACAGGTTCGTGCCACCACACCCAGCTCCATTTTTTTAGGGTCATGCTACCTAGTTTAGGCTGGCCCTGACTCTGTAGCCCAGGCTGGCCTCAAATTTATGGTGATTCTTCCACCTCAGCCTCCTGAGGTGGGGTTACAGTGGTGTAGTTGTGTGCCACCATGCCCAACTCAAAGTAAATTTCAAAACGCAGGCTGCTGATACAGTTCAGGGTGAAGGCCCTGGGATCATTCAATCCCTAATACCACTTAAAAAAATCAGGTCCAAAGAATTTTTACTTAACATCATCTTTTGTCCTCAGGCTGACTCCTGGTTCTCAAGGGCACCAGGAAGCTGCCACGTTGAGATTTTGTCACTGTGAAGGCCCCTGCTTCTGACTGCTGAGAGGGGGCCCTACCCTGAGCCTGAAGATCTGTTACTCACCCCAGAGCTGGCCGCTGGGCAGGCTGGGATTGGACACACAGGACAAGCTTGTCGCTGCCCCCTGCTGTCAGGAGGCAGAATCCTCAGGGCAGAGCTGCAAGGTGGAAGGCAGGATGGCTGTCGGCGGCCCTCAAGGGCGATTCCTGTCCTTCGGCCTGCCGGTGGCCTCTCCAGCCTCCTCACACTGCCCCCCTCAGGACAGGATCTCACACAGGATCTTTATATGTCCTTGCAACATATTCTTCTGAAGCTTGCTTTCCTCCTTAACTCTAAGATTTTGTTGTTTTCTTCATATTGAGGAGTGAAACCAGGGCTTTCACACTGAGCTACATTCCCAGCCTTAGTTTTTAAATTTGAGACAAGATCTTGCTGTGCAGTTCAGGCTGGCATTGAATTCCTATATATCCCAGGCTGGCCTCAAACTGACGGCAATCCTGCCTCAGTTTCTTGAGTCTGGGATTATTCAGCTGTGCACCACCATGCCTGAGCTCTCCTTAGAACGAATGAAGGTTATGGGCTCAAAACTATGCACAATCTTTCTCATATCCTTTCCCCAGCTTTATGGCCTCAAGGAAAATAATTTTTTCTCTTTTTGGATAGGTCTCCCTATGAGTTCAGGTAAGTCAGGTTAGCCTCAAACTTGCATCGATTCTCCTGCCTCAGCCTCCTGAGTGCTGGGATACTTCTGGATTGCTCTCTCCCCTTTACTCTGAGGGTCCCTAGGAGTTCAACGTGAGTGTAAGCTGTAGGTGCCCCTCCGGCCACTCAGGATCTCTCCCCTGCCCTCCCCTCTTGGCAGCAGCCCCATGAGGATCAGGCTAATACTGGCTCAGGAGACTTCATTGCTCAGGCTAGAGACCCCCTCACTCCGGTGTCTTCCTGACACCCACGCCGAGTATCACTGTCCATTGCAGTAGAGAAACACTTGTCTGCACCCAGGCCTCCAGCCGCCTGGACTCCAACGCTGGTTCTTTTGGGAGAAATCGGGAACCCCAGCTGCAGGCAGGGCAGGGACAGGAGCACGTCGTGGCCACCACCCTAGACGGCCTTGGACACCTGTTTGGAGCACATAGTGGACAAATGCTCCGGGCAGCCTCCTCCTGGCAGGATGAGTGGCTGGGCTCCTGCAGGGAGGGCTCACCTGCCCCTCCTCTGGGAGGTGCTGCATCTCCGCAGCCGTTCTGTCCACTGGCTCTCCCGAGATGGAGACACACAGAAGCCAGCTCGGATTCACAGCATTTTTATTCCTAAATAAATTATCCAGTGACATGACTTCCACCAATTTCGAATGCCTAATGCCCAGCGACACAAGCAGGGGCTCCCAAAGGTCCTAAAGATGGAACCCCGCAGGAAGTAGAGAATATAAGCTGGAGAACCCCGGGAGGTCGCAACTGGGGACACCTAGGGTCCCTTCCTGCGCCACCTGTGGGGTCCGCTGCATCTTCCCGCCTAGTCCTGGGCCAGCCTCGGCCCTGCTTCTCCTGTGGAGAACCAAGGGCAAGGATGCACCGGGCAAGGAAGGGCCCTGGCTCCTCCAGGGGGCCATGCGGTGTGGGGGTGCAGAAGCACAGGGGTCTGCAGCAGTCCTCCCTGCTCTCCAGCCCAGAACAGCCCACAGCATGATTGACAAGCAGCAGCAGATGAAAAGGGGGTGGGAGGCTGGCTCCTTACTCTCAAGAGCCTGTGCTTCAGCCTGAAGTTTTTTTCCTTTTTTCTTTTGAGATAGGGTGTCTTGCTACACTGTTCAGGCTGACCTTGAACTCACTATGCAGTCCGACCTGGCCTGGAACTCACAGCGATCCCCCTGACTCTGTGCTCTGCAGTGATGGCGTTACAAGTGTACACTACCCACCATGCTGGAGTTTTCACCTAAAACACTGCCTGGGGCTCTGCGGTCCAGGACCCAGGTGGAATTTAATGTCCTGGCGGCGTGCCAGGTGGAGCAGAGTGCCTGGGTTTCCAGGCCCCAACCCAACCACCCCACAGGGCGGGCGGCCTGTGTTCTGGAGTGCATTCACCGGAGACGGAAGCCACGGACCTGAAAACAATCCACCTCCAGGGCTTTTGACTTCTACAAGATGAGGCGAGGTCACCCTCACGTGGTTGCAGGATGCCCACTTGGCCAGCAGAGGGCAGATGGGGCTCACGGGAGAGCCAGGCTGGCGCGGGTCCCCAGAGCAAAGTTCCCCGCGTCGGCCCAGCGCTGCTTTCGTTCTCAGCCAAAAGGTGGGCGGCAGGCGTGGTGTGGCTGCGGCATCAGACCTGCTGATCCCGGATGGTCTGAACTGAGATCCAAACTCTTCGTGGCTTAAACCAGGAACTTTTTTTTTTTTTAAAGTAGTGAGGACTGGGCCAGGGATTTAGCTTAGTGGCAGAAGAGCCTGGCTGGCAAACACGGTCATGAGTTCAATCCCTGGCACCAAAAAATAAAAAATAAAAAAGTACTAAGGGTTGAACAGCGTCTTTGCACTACGCTATATCCCTAGCCTTTTTAAAAACATTTTTTTCCCCAAGTTCTTGCTAAATTCTTAAGGTAGCCAGGCTGGTTTTGAACTTGTGATCCTCCTGGTTAAGCCTCCCACAGAACTGGAATTACAGGAGTGGCACCACGGTGCCCAGATTGAACTTAACACTTAAAAGAAAAAATGAAGAAACTTTGGCAAGCTATTGAGCTTGCAAAGCAACCTGTAGCTCCTGAGATCAGATCCCAAGTTTCAAGAGAGAAAATAAATTATTCTGAGCTGGGCTCACAGCACAGTACGCTTAGTCTGGCTGCACTCAGGTGCAGGCAAAAGTCCTCTTCCCCTGGCTTTCTTTATCCAGGAAAGAAAGTGCTGGAGGCCAAAATCATGCAAGGCAAGACCAGCTTAAACTACGGGATTCAGGTGAGAGATACAGCAAGACAACGCCCGCGTTCAGCTCTCCAGCCCTCCTGATAACTTCCTGAAAGGTGAGGGGCGGGCGGGAAGGCCCGTGGGTCAGAGGTCGTGCTTCTGCCGCCCCAGCGACCAACCCTGGGCTTCTCAGGTGCACAGGGGCCTTGAGTCCCCACCCAGAGCCCTGTGAGGAAGCTGTCAACAGCTGACAAGATCAAACAGGTATGGTAAGGCCAGGTGAGCCAGGGTGCGCGCGTGGGTAGGAGTGCGCATGCGCACGGGAGCGCAGCACCGAGGCTCCCTGAGGGTGGGGCCGGGGAGACCTTTTCTCAGGGTTCACAGGGGTGCTGGGACCCAAGATGGTAGGCAACTGGGGAAGGGAAGAGGAGGTAAGTGCAAAGAGCAGGGAAGGTGGCACCTGGGTAAGGGTGGAGCTGGGAGTCACGGAGGAAGGGACTGACGGGGAGCAGCCACCAGCCTCCAGCACCTGTGCCAGTGCACACTGGAGCTGTCCAGGCAGCGCTGGCCGCCCTACACACCACGTATTTGTCGCTTTCCAGACCCAAAGAAGGCCCAAAGCCTGCTGTCCCCATCTGCAGGGGTGAGGCTTCCAGCCTGGCAGAGCCGGGCCCCTGAGGCTTGATGCCCACCAGTGTAAACACCCCAGGAAGCCAGGGCGCAGCTGCCCGCAGGAGCTGGGCTGGGTGGGCCCTGAGAGGTAAAGGGAAACGGTCAGTTTCTGCCCCAAGGACGGGGCATGGGAGTCACGAGGCTCACAACTGCTGCGGTGACCAGAGAGGCACCTGGTGACTCAAGCAGATGGCAGCTGCTCCTCAGGTCACAGTGACAGCGTGGCCGGGAACATCACACCTCAGTTGACACAGCCCTCTCCAGGGCTCCCTGAGGACTCCCCTGTAGCCTCCTCCTCCAGCAGGCACCCCCAGAGCAGGGAAGCAACAGCAGCACAGAGGTTGGCAGGGAGGAGGGCGATGCACATTTCCACAGCAGCTGGCACTAGGCCTGCAGCCCTGTGGTGCCCTGGGCGTCGGGGGCACCCGCATCCCAGCACCTGCCCCTTGGTCAGAACAGCTCCTGCTCGTCGTCCTCGGAGCCCGACGGGCCCTGGCGCACCTCCTCGTACCACTTGTTGGTCAGGCTCTTCATCTGGATGCGCCCGTGGTGCAGGTCCTGGGTGAGAGACAGCGAGCTGTCAGTGTCGGCGGCAGGGTCAGGCCGAGGAAGAGGGCAAAAGATGCTTGTCTGTGCGTGTGTGTGCATGTGCCTGCGTGTGTCCGTGTGTCCATGCATCGGGAACAGCACAGGCGATGTCAGCATTGCCCGGCCAACTGCAGCAGGGCCCTTCTGTGTGTGGTAGAGAAGAGGGGCAGTGCTGGCACACCTGACAGTCTGATGGTCAGCAACTGCCGAAGACAGCCCCGGAAACCAACTGTCAGCCAGTCTATTACCGCACAAGAACTAAGCAGGGCAGCAAGGCAACAGGTGTGGAGTCCCACAAACCACCGGCACCCCAGCCCCACACAGCCTCTGGCCCCCACCCTGCTCCCACCCTTGGCCACTGCATGTCCCAAGCAAGGGAAGGGGCGTGTGGCACCATGGCACGGCCCAGGCCCCACCTCCTGCGTGAGTCTCCGTGTGAAGAAGGGGTTCAGGTACTTGGCGTCCAGCCACAGGAAGCCCTTGAGGTCCTGCCGCCGGATGTAGTGGGCTTCGTACTCCTCCTCGGTGAGCTCCGACAAGTGCTCCGACTCAATGGTGTTGCCCTGGGCGACAAGGCAGCCAGAGGCTGTCACCTGGAGCCCTCACACCACCCACGCCTCCCTGTCATGGCCACCAGTGTCCCCAGCCCTAAGTGTGCTTTGTGACCAGTGCTAGGTGGCAGTGGGCACGGTTCCCAGGGAGTCAGGAAATTCCACGAGAACGAACAGTGCCCAGGGAGACGCCTGGCAGCTGTAGGACAGCCATGAGCTGGTGCAGGTGTAGAGGCCGGAGGGGACGGCGTAGGTCTCAGGTCCGGCAGGTGTCCCACTGCCCTGGCCCTCAAAATTTGCTTCCTGCTGCTTCTCAGTGTTGCCCCAAGACGCCACGGCGGCAGCATGTCCTTCCCCCAGGAGCAGCGCCCAGCAGCCAGGGAGAGACGCTAATTCTTTTGGGCACCACTCCGAATTGTAAGACCCTCACGGTGAGGGCCAGTGGCCTGTGTGTGACAAGCCTGGCACTCATTCTGATACCCATGAAAACATTTGGGAACCTATTCAAGAGGTTTTGGTTGTTTTGTTTGAGAGAAGGTCTTGCTGTGCAGCTTTGGCTGGCCTTAAATTCACTATGTAGCCCAGGTGGCAACCCTCCTGCCTCAGCCTCCCAGTACTGGGATTACAGACATATGCCATGAGGTCTGGCCCAAAAAGTTTTCATAAAAACACACAAAAACAAACTGGGCGTGGTGGTACACACTGTAATCTCAGCACTCGGAAAGCTGAGGCAGGAGGATCAATCACTTCACATTTGAGGCCAATCTGGGCTGTTTCAAGGCCAGCCTGGATTACAAAGATCCTGTCTCAAAAAAACCAAACCAAACCAAAACCAACCACAATAACAAAAACCACCCAAGAAACCAGGAGTGATGGCACAGGCCTGTAATTCTAACACTTGGGAGGCTGAGACAGGAAGATTGCTACAAGTTTGAGGCCAGCCTGGGCTACACAGTAAATTCAAAGGCAGCCAACTACATAGCAACTCCCTGTCTTCACACACACACACACACACACACACACACACACACACACACACACGGGCAGGGGAAGGGCCTCTGCACAAAGAACAAGCCTGCTGAGCCCAGGGCAACTGAGGTACTGCCAGCAGCACCGCTGAGGGGCTGGGGTGAGGCCTCGGTACTCCAGCTTAACCCCATATTGGAACGGCCACATGAAGACTGCTGGGTCGTTAATGACTGGTGACCTACAATGAGGCACTAGGAAAAGACGCATCTTGGAAGGTGAGCAGGTGGAACGCACGGAGGTGGGATGCAAGGCACCCGCAGAGGCCTGGCTGCAGCAGGCAGCAGTGGCAGGGATGGTGGAGTCCTCTGTCCTGGAGGAGGCCACCTCTCGTGCGCCACAGTCACTGCAAACCACCCTCCCCTCCTGGGGCCTGCAACAGGAGGTACAGCAAATGTTGGGCAACGATGTGATTTTGAGCCCTCGGTGTGGAATGCGGCCTGCTGGATGGCTGGGCGCCTGGGCACCTGGGAGGGCAGGGAGGAGGCAGAGAGGAGTCTAACGCGGGGCCCTCAGGCTGCCTGGGGAACCCAGGGCACCTGTCGTGACTTCTGTGGCTTCAGCAGGTCAGGGGTGGGCCTCCACTCCAAAGAGCCAGAGTCAGCACACAGCTTTCTCCGCCTCCTCCTCAGCCCCCGCGGGAGCTGTGCCCCTCTGGGCCCACCTTGCCCACCCCAGCCCGGGCCCGCCAGCACTGACCATCTTCTCTGTCTTGCTGAGGTTCACGTCCTTCTTGCTCCTGCGCCGGGCCTTGGCATCCTCGATGTCCATGAGGCGGATGAGGGGCATGGTGCTGCCGCCCAGCAGCAGGATGGTGAAGAGCACGATGACGATGGTGGTGGTGCCGATGAGCTGCCGCTTCTCCATGGGCTCCAGGTCCAGGTGCAGGCTCAGGGCGTAAGGGATGGCGCCCCGCAGGCCTGAGGGGACAGCACAGGGTCAGCGGCCAGCAGGAGAGGAGGTATAGCATCCCTGGCTGGGTTCAGCCCAGCACCATGGACACTAGGACACCAGGACAGACCCATGGAGAGGCTAGGAGGGTGCAGAGAGCAGGCTGCAGCAGAGGGACAGAAGTGGCCCAAATTTACAGCCCAGCTGGCCGAGCCATCAGCTCCAGTCCACCAGGTGCTTATGCAGGGGGCCACTGAACCTGTGACTCAGGTGACTGCTGCTGTGGGCCAAACTCGTCCTGTGTGTGGCCCGGCCCTGTGCTAAGCGCTCTGTGTGCTCAGTGTCACCGACTGTCACAGGAAACCCTGAGCAGCGGGCTCTGGATCCCAGAGGGAGGCCTGGTGAGTGGGACCAAGATAGCTGGCACCACAGCCAGGGAAGGGGCAAGTCCTTCGAGCAAAGCGCGGACCACAGGTCAGCAACAGGAGGCTCCTGCCGGTGAGGTCAGCCCGGGAATAGCCGGGCCCTGGGGAGACTCCAACCAAGGGAAGGGCTGGTGTGCTGGGAGATGGGCCAGGAAAGGGGCTGACCAGCAGGGCTGGCAGCAGGCGGCCAATTCTAGTGCAGCAGGTAAGAGGTGACAATGTGGAGAATGGGTGACTCATGGTGGACCTAGCCAAGAGGTGACCAAGGGGACCAGCCTTGGAGGGGGTCGGGGGCAGGACTGTGGCCTCGGTTGCTGGTTTTCTGCTGGGAAAGAGGAGGGTGTGCTGATGGGAGGGGCGGGGGCCCTGGAGGCAGGAGCTGCCCCACTGCCTCCCCATCTGGCCCTCCTGCCCTGGGGCTCTCACCATCCTGCCCCTTGCTCTGACACTTGGCTGAGATTCTTGGGGACCCCATGCATGACCTTGCGTTAACTACCTCACCGTACAGTTTTCTCCTCACTAGCATATACACTATGAATACACACATACATATACACACCTCACACACCTTTGGAAACAAGGCTTTTTGAAAGGAGAACTCTGGGGCTGGGGGTTTAGCTCAGCAGCATAAGCACCTGCCTTGCAAGTAGGCAGTCGTGAGTTCGATCCCTGGTACCGATGAAAAAGACTATAAAGCATATTGTTATATCCCAATCCACATGGAACATTCCAATTATACAACAAGAAAGCATAAAGAACTCCATATATTCCTCAAAAGTAAATTTAAAGATGCATAAGGACTCCCGTCCAGCCGGAGCTTTACTGCTTTTGGCTCGGGAGGTGAACGGGCTCCCCGAGGGCGCCCCTGCACCCTGTTTTTCTCACAGGCCCCTCCCGCCGCCGCCGCTCACCACTGAACCACATGATGAACATCATCTTCGGTGTGATCTTATGATCCCGGAAGAAATTCAGGAGGTAGGAAAGAGGGAAAATGTTGACCGCTCGGCCAAACAGCACAAGCACCTGTTAGCAGAGAGCGACAGCCGTTAGCACAAGCCGAAGCCTGTGGAAGCTGACGCAAACCGGGTCCTCGGTGACACAAGGCAGGCGAGACCCGCCCCGCGTGCTGGTGGAGGCACCAGGTTCCATGTGTCCCCGTAAAGCTTGGTGCATTGCTTGGGAAGAAAAGACCGGTGCAGTATCCACACAGACCACAGGATGCCACAGGCCAGGGCGGAAGTCGCCAGGGCTGTGTGTCAGGGCCTCAAAGTTCCTCCTGGTGAGCGCCTCAGGGACAGCTGGACCCTGGGGATGAACCCAAATCCTCTGCCCTGAGGCGCTCTGCCAGTCCTTGTCTACTTTGGGACAGGGTCTCACTCACTCCCTAAGTTGCACAGGCTGAGCTTGAACTTGTGAACTTCCTGCCTCAGCCTCCCCAAATCCTGGGCTTAGAGCTGCATGCCAGCACACCTGGGTGACAGACGAGGTGTTCCTGCTTCTCCTGTGGGGGCCGCTCCTCCGGCCAGGAGGGAGGATTCTGAGGGCTGGGTAAGGAACACATAGGCGTGTTCCCAGAGAAGCCGCACACGCCTCGCCTAGCCAGCAGCTGCCCTGGTCTCCGGGTCCTAACGGAAGACAGCTCTCTGCGGGGCCTGGGTGGTGTTCCTGCCCAGCACACGGGAGGCCCTTTGCTTACGCTAGGCCTTGGGTCCTATTCCCAGTGCGGCAGAAGAAACCAAAACAAAATATAGCTTTATGTACAGTTTAAATCCTACCCAAGTGGGGGCTTGGAACTGTTTATTAATTTATTTTCCTTTTCATCCTGGCTCCCCCATAGCTAGCTGAACAGCTCGGTAGAGGCTTGCGGATTCCAGGCTTCATGTTTATTCTGTCCTGGCGAGAGCCTAGTGTGCGTCAGCGGTCAGGTTAACAGCAGCTGCCCCCCATCATCCAGCTCTCCTGCGCCGGACACTATGTGAAGCACATTATGCACTCTCTACGTGGCTGCATTTAAATCTCTGCAGTGGTTTTATGAAGCGGGTGCTATCGCCTCCACTTTGCAGACAAGGAAACCAAAGCACAGAGAGGTTAAGTAACTGGTCCAAGATGACCAGATGGGAAGAGGTAGATGCAAAACTGGCTCAGGCCCCAGTGTGCCCGGGCTGCAGAGCGGAATCTGAGGGTGGAACCGTAAACACCCGCACCCCAGGCCCCTCCTTGCCCAGGAGCTAGCTGCACTGGGGTGCTCAGGGAAACTGAGTTACTGCCCCAGGGCCCCCTCGCACCCACGGGGTGGCCCTGTTTCGCCCCGATATGCAGTCTTCATTCCTACATTTGGGTGTTGGCTCCCATCAAATGTGGCCCCTTCTCCACAGTGACCACGCTGGGATGATCACGGCAAAGGCATCTGCTGCCACTCTGCTGTCCTGAGACCTGTGTATGGGGACAAATGGCTATGACAGATAGCAGCAAACTGCTACCGCCGGCCGGCGGGAGGTGGAAGCATGCGGGTGGCAAAGTGGCTGTCTCGTGGGCTCCTTATCTTCTGTGGCTCAGTTTGCCCACGTGCCACAGAGGTTGGTCTCACCAGTCTGCACATGGTGTACCTGTCTGAAACCTGGCAGAGTGGCTGCTTAGAAGACAAGTTTGCCTCCTGATAGCTGTGTTGTGACAAGTGGCAACACAAGCGAACTGACGGTGCATTTCGCTACACTCCAAGGGGTGCCTTAGCAGCGCACCGATTAACAGGGTCTGAGGAGCCAGCCGCGGACTAGCTAGACAGTGAGCCGGCAGCAGGGTCTGCGAGCGATGAGCTGGCAAGGAGGGAAGAGACGGGGCAGGAGGCAGGGGAGGCCGGTGGGGCTGTGCCCCGAGCTGGATGTCACCGAGGCGGCTTGGATTAGACACTCCAGGGAGCCGGCCTCTTAAATGCTAAGCACACTCCTCCCGTTTCATTCCCAACAAGGAAGGATTTTGATTCTGTTGCAGCTGATTAAATTTTCCTTTCCTTTCTGCCTGGCATGGTGGTGCAGGCCTGTAACCCCAACACTCAGGAGGCTGAGGCAGGAAGATGATTTGAGTTTGAAGCCAGAATGGGCTACAAAGTGAGTTCAAGGCCAGCCTGAACTGCAGAGTAAGACCCTGTCTCAAAAAGACCTAAATAAACAAATAAATACACAGTTTTCTTTCCCTTTTTTAAGAGTGTGTTTTGATTTTTACCCTGCTGCTATGTCCAGTCCAGCTGGAACCAGGTTCCCAAATGCTGATTATCAGAGCTGCTTTGCCCCAGCCGGCACCCAGGGAGGGAAGGGCCTGGGCCCAGTGTGCAGGGTCAGCTTAGCAAGGGGCGCATCTGAGTAAAACTGAGTTAAGGAAGGACAGTCACCATAAATTATTCAGAAAAAGTAGACAATAGGAAAAACCTTCCAGTTTTATAACCACTGTGAACATGTGGCAGTGTTTTTTTCTTCTGTACATAACATTTTTACATAATTATAATTGTTAATCAATTTTGAAATCTGCTTTCACCACCAACCCAACCAACCAAAAAAAAACACATAAACTTATAACATTCCAGATCACTGAAAATTAAAAAACAAGAGACCTTTCCCAAGGACATTCATTCACTTAATTCTACTTCTTACATTCATATTATATGTTTGCAGTTTTTTTTTAACAAAAGAGACTTTAAACACAAGAGTGTCTATGTAGCTGTTGACTTTGACTAGTTAACAGTTACATAAATGAATCCAACATGTGATTACTGATCTGTGAATAAGCAGTTAAATAAAAAAACAAGGAAAATACTTACTATGCACCAGATGACAAAGGAAATTTCAAACTTGTGAGGAAAACTAAAAATGGACAGGCCAAGAAATGCAAACACACATGTTTCTGAAACAAACCAAAGAATGGATTATTCAGCCCCAACTATTTTCTTAGAATATAGTGGTAAATCATTAAGCAAGTAAACATTCAGATATCCCAATCCAATGTAACACTATTTTCTGAAAAATTCTGTAACCAATACTTTGGCCAGACTTTGTACTTAAGCTTGGTGTGGTGGTGCATGCTTATAAACCCAGCACTTGGGAGGCTGAGGCAGGAGGATCATTGTGAATTCAAGGCCAGCTTGGGCTACACAAGCAAGTTCAAGGCCAGCCTGCACTAGTGAGACCCAATCTCAAAAAAACAAAACAAAAGAACCCAGAGTCCTGCCTCTCTGTGTCTGTCTGTCTGTCCCTCTCTCTTCCCCCCTGCTATCCACTGCTATTCAGAATTCCCCAATGTCATGAGTCAGCTGTCAGTTACTTCCCCAATAAACACGAGCGCACTCTGGGAAGACGGTAAATGTAAGAATCCCTCCATGTGCAGAACACTGTGCTTAGCCACGATCCTGCGGCAAAGTGGCACAAACTCAAGCAAGTGACGGCAGCGCCACATGACCAGGATCAAAGGGCCTTTTGTTAACTTGCCAAATGACTGACTTGACACACTGAACCATCCTGAACCAGCAGCATGATTCAGGACGCGGCTCAGCCCAGCGGGGCCTGCAGGAGGAGACTCACGTCCAGCTCTGGGCTCGGCTCTGTGAAACACAGGAGCTCAGTACTGCTCTAGGCTTCGGTACATATCTGAAGAGAATGCACCTATAAATGTCCAGGCTCCCTACTGCAACTGTGACATCCCCCAGAATGGCCCGAGAACTGGGGAGACACAGACTGGTTATATTCAAATGGTTGAACATTGTAAAATAAGTGAGCTTGTTCTAAAACATTTCAGTGATGTTTTGTCTTCCAATGTAGATCTTTAAAAAAACAAACAAACAAACAAAAAAAAAACAGGCCCACATGTGGGATAATATACTCACCCCTTTCCTTCCTTAAACATTTTTAAAGTATTTTTGTGATCAATTCCAAATCAGTGCATTTAGAACATTCTCACATCTAATTTGTGCTGTTCCCTGACAGAACAAATTCTAGTCCACAGATATATAATATGGACAGATATCTTGACTCGCAGATAGATGCTAACAAATGAGTCTCCCAAAGAGACGGCCCATTGCACACATCTGCTCCCCGGGCCTAGTTTCTACTCCCCATGCCAGGAATGGACACTTCCAGTCTTGCAATTCCCCAATCTGATTGATGGGAATAATTGAGAGCTTCTTGTTTGTTTTGAGATATGGTCTCTGTTAGCCCAGGCTGGCCTTGACCCTGCAGCACCCCTCCTGCCTCAGGACAGGTGCTGGGATTACAGTCATGGGCTGCCACACTTAGGGTTTTTTTTTTTTTTTTTTTTTTTTGTCTTTTTGAGACAGGGTCTTGCTATGCAGTTCAGGCCGGCCTTGAGCTCACTTTGTAGCCTAGGCTGGTCTCGAACTTGCAACGATCCTCCTGCCCCAGCCTCCCAAGTGCTGGGATTATAGGCATGAGCCACCACACCTGACTCACACTTAGTTTATAAAACAGAATTTGATGGCTATTTTGCTGTGGATTTTTTTAAATGTGAGGGGCAGGGTCAGAACCTTTAGGCTTGGCCATCGGACCTTCCTCATCGGAGCCGCCATTCTCTGCAAGGCCAGCCCCTCCTCCCCCGGCAGGTGACAAAGTGGTACCAGGGCTCCAAAGGGGGATAAAGTTCAGGAAAAGCCAGGGGATGCTGGCGATGGCAGCTGGGCACAGCCAGTGGGCCAGCTCCAAGGGACAGTGTGAGTGTGGCTCCTCCCCCTCTGTGGAAGGGGGAGGCAGGGAGGAGCTCAACTGCGGTCCCCTACCAGAAGCTCCCCGGGGTCCATCACAGTGCAGCCAGGGTCACTTGCTTAAACTCCCCAGCCTGGCCCTGGAGGGTGCTTTTGTCAAAGGACCCTCTGAGGACAAGTTTGGGAAGTGCCAGTGACTGTCCCCTTCTTTGTCCCTCAGCATGAAAAGCCTTGCAGCCCTGGAATCTGCTCAGTAGAAACCAGGAGCCCCTCATTCTCTTTTCATCCTGGAGCCTTTCTCTTCTAGCCACCGTCAATGTCATTTCCAAGCAGTACATTTTGGAAATGTCACCTTCCTACATTAGAAACACATGTCTCAAATGTTCACAATCAGTAGTTTGCATTATTTTTGGTCTTAAAATTGTTGGCATCAATGTTCCACTCAGCAGGTGTTAGGCCTACTTTATGGAACTGCACAGCTGGAGGGACAAGCCCAGGATGAGCGGTGGGTGCCCTGCTGCCAGGGGACATTGCCGCAGACCCCATAGCAGGCCAGGAAGCCCACTCACTCCGGGTGGGCACACACACAGGGACACCAAGGCTCAACTCACCACACAAGAAGGCCACAGTCCGGAGGGTTTGCTGCATGAGTATCTGGGTGACTGGGGAGAGGTTGTGGTGTGTGTAGTGCGACATCACGATGCCTGAGAACAGGATGGCCATGATGCCTGCAGGGCGACACAGGGGCAGAGACAACAGGCATGAGCACACTGCAGTGCACTTGCATGTGACACCCACACCAGATGCACACTCCTATGAGTCCCCAGAGCCTGGGTCCTAGGGGTTTAGGAAGAAGCAAAAGAGAGGAAACTTGAGGCCTCCTGGAGGCTACTGAGAAGAACTAAGGGTCTTGTCTTGCTCTGGGACCAGCTGGGTGACCTGGGCATCCTGTTTCCCCTCTCAGAAAACAGGTCTGTTTTCTCGTCTTAGGAGTGCCCGTAAGGACGTGAAGTGGTTATCACAGGACCAGGGCACCCAGCTGTCCTCAGGTGTAAGGGGCAGTGACGCGCCAGGAGTGGTAGGGAGTGTGCCTGGGAATCTGGGTGTGGGGAATGGGCAGATTTCAGTGGACTTGCTGGTTTTCTTTTTCTTGGGACTGAACCCAAGGCCTCTGCACCGAGTTACATGCCAGAGCTTTCCTTGCCTTTTTGTTTTGTGGTAGCGGGGATCGAACTCAGGACCACACACTTGCAAGGCAGGCGCTTGTGCCACTAAGCTAAATACCTGGCCCTTTTTTGGTCTTTTTGAGACAGGGTGGTCACTGTGCAGCTCAGGCTGGCCTTGGGCTCACTCTGTACTCCAGCCTGGTCTCAAACTTGCAACAATCTGCCTGCCTCAGCCTCCTGAGTGCTGGGATTACAGGCGTGTGCCACCACTCCTGGCTTCTTGCCTCTTCTTTTGAGACAGGGTTCTGGTAAGTTGCTAAGTTGCCCTGGCAGGGCTCAACCTTGTGAACCTGCTGCCTCAGCCTCCCCAAGTCAGAGCTGGTTTCACGGACTTAGGGACATGGCTCTGGGTTCTCTCGGTAGATCCCATGTAGCAGCAGGAAAGGGGCTTGTATTTATGTAGGGAAGCTAAGGTTTTTTGTCTATTTTTTTTTAGGAAATCAAGTAAGATGCTAAAATACATATATAGCAAGGAAATCTTTAGAAGTCTTAAGTCACTCTTGGGATTTTGGAGAAATAGGGCTTAACTACTTCACCTCCATTTCTAAGACAGTGAAGTTCCCAGAATTACACTGCAGACATCCTGGCTGCAGACCTGGCTGTGGACACACAGCCCTGCCAAGCCCTGCTCCCTGGCTGCCCAGGCTCATGGTCTTCCGCAGGGCACAGCTCCCAAAGAAAGGACGCGGCTGGCCAGCTCAGTCCAGGGCACTGGGCCAGGGCCAGGTAACAAAAATATAGGCTGAAGATCAGGGGGAAACCAGGGGCCCAGGGCCCCAGGAGAAGGAGCAGCCTGCACTGAGCCCTGTAGCTACAGAGTGGAACCTCACCCTGCAGGGATCACACATGCTGTTTTCTGCTGGGTTTTTATTTTATCAAAACAGACATTTATTTAAGGTAGGATGTTTGCAGACTAAATAATTTTTCTTTTTCTTTTTTTTTTTTGGTACCAGGGATCGAACTCATGACCTCATGCTTACCAGGCAAGGGCTTGAGCTGCTGAGCTAAATCCTTGGCCCCATCAAATAATTCTTAAATTGTATGTTTCAGGCTTAATCAAGTTCATAAAAATATTTTGAAGACAGTGGCATCCACAGACTGCAACTGTGTGATTCTTTGCCACACTTCTCTCTTTTCTGCCCCAAATAACCTGTGAGATGTGGTTCAGATATTATTTACCCTCCTCCTGGTCTGTCCAGCGCTCTCCAGGCAGGATCTGATGCTTCAGGCTCAGGTCCAGTGCGCTCTTACTTCGAAACAGCCTGCCGCTATACAGGTCCTTGGGAAGCCTTTTATGGCTTCTTTTACATCATCATCTTCTACTGCATCCTCTCACAGTTAGCCCAGCTTGCTGAGTCCGCAGCACTGTCACACCACTTCCGAACAGTGTCCGGCCACCAGTGGTGGCTGCAGGTTGGCCTGCCAACTGTTACCGCCTTACTGGGTTTTTGAGCAATGCCAGGAACCTGTTTCTTTTGGGAAATTTTCAAACTTTTTGTGGAAACAACTGGGACACTCAACTGTATGACACTTTCCATATGGATAAACAAACCCCTTCTGGGGACTGAATTCGGATCACAGAGGCCGGCTGCATCCCCAACACACTGATACTAGGAAAGGCCATCTGGACAGCCCGAGAGGAACAGTGCTTCACCCCAGGTCTGTGTGTGGCAGGGGCAGCTGGGCCACAGCAAAGAGGCCAGGTGAACAGTAGGTGTCACAGCCAGGGGACACTCAGCAGCCTGTGCATGCTCCTTCCTGCAATAGGGGTCACCAGCACCTAGAGTATCCTGTCTGCGGCAGCGCCACTGTGTAAGTTGGAAATCACCATGGGGTGAATGGGGTGCAACCCAGGCTCCGCTTCCTAAATGAGCTGGAAGGTACGGCTATCTACACACAGTAACACCCTCCATGAAGAGGGCAAGATCTTGCTGGGTGTGGTGGCGCAAGCCTGCATCCCAGGACTTGGGAGGCTGAGTAGAAGATTGCCTTGAGTTTGAGGCCAGCCTGGATTACATGGCAAGAACTGCTTTCAAAAAGCCACACACCCAAGTGCACACACATAAAGGAAAGCAAGATCCTTTAAGAAAGCAAGTAATAGGGGCTGGGGATTTAGCTCAGAGGGGCTAGGGATTTAGCTCAGTGGCATAAGTGCCTGCCTTGCAAGCAGGCGGTTGTGAGTTCGATCCTCGGTACCGATAAAAAGGAAAAACACACACACACACAAAGAAAGCAAGTAACAATGCTGCAAAGACCTTTATCTGTGTTCTAAACTCGTGGGACCAGGGAAACGGTTCACCATTCCCAGTGAGTCCTAAGATGTAACAGTAGGTCTTGGAATTCTTTCCACAGCGGGGCCTCATAGAAGCCAGGGAAGCTCTTCCACTGCACTATGCCCTCGGCCCTCAAGTTCACCTTTTATGAGGCTGCACAGTATGCCCCGCGATCTTTCTCATTCCTGAAGAACACGCAGTGCCTCCAATTCATCTCCTCCAGGCAGCCTGGCAACGGCATTCCCTGCACACGCGCTGTGCAGACCAGCGGTGTACAGTGCAGTCCATCTTTGGCCAACGTGGTGCCAACACGTTCCAGAAAATGCGATGCCCTGACTGACCCTATCACTTTGTCCACCCCACAGTGTTCCCTCCTTTGTGACTCATCCTGGCACCGTCTTTCACCCTGTCCCCAACCCAGCTTTCGTTAGGCTATGTCTGTCTAAAGGGGAGGCTGAAGCCCATTCACCTTTGGATCTTCACAGCCAGAGGGCAAAGAGGTCCTAAGAACTAGTTTGAAAGAACAATAAACTAGTTAAGAAGTCAGGTTTGGTGGTACAAGCCTATAATCCCAGTTCTGTGGGAGGCTGAGGCAGGAAGATCACAAGTTTGAGCTTCACCTCTGCAACTCTGTAACTTAGTGAGACTCTATCTCAAAAAATAAAAAGGGGCTGATGATGTAGCTCAGCCTGTCAGTGTGAAGGCCCTGAGTTCCACCCTCAGTACTAGAAAAAATTTCACACTGATGCACTTCGAATACAGAGTCTGAGAAGAAGTTAATGACTATGTCATTAACTAGGGAATTACCTGATGTGCTATTGAAACCACAAAATTTTTTGAAAGGATTGTTATTAATTCATTGTGTTGGCACAACAGGGGTGCCCTGAGGGTCACAGGGTAAGCCAGGAAGTCAGGCAATCGGTAATACCCACTTCTGTACCATTGTGCCCCGGGCAGCCCTGTCACTGCGTCTTCCTCACAGTGAGGAAGCAGAGCTCAGAGCAGGCAGGGTGCAGGCTGCGTTTACACAGCGACTGACAAGCGAAGTCTCAGCCCTACCCACCCGTGCTAAACAGGCGGGCTTAGGGAAGCTGCTCGTGATTCCTCGGGAGAGGCTGTTCTACGGCCTTGAGGGCCACCCACTGTCAGGCCTTTGTGACAGGAATAAGGGTGCACAAAAAAGAAGGGAAGACAGCTCTGCCCCTCTTTCCTGCTGGTGCTCCTGCAGAACAATCTGTGGCCCACACGGCTTGAGAGGGCCACGCAAGCCCTCTCCAAAACTCTGAGTGAGCGGTGTGCCCAGGCAGTGAGCAAGTCGGCAGAGCCCGTGCCCTTGCTCCGCTGCAGAGCACGTCTGGGGTCCCTCGGCTTGACCAGCAAACCTTACACAGAGAAAACAAAGCTACTTGGAAGAAAAGACAAGAAAAGCACTCCTTTATTTTAATCACAAATTCCAAGCTGATGCATGAACTCTTTCTTTACCAACAAGTGTTCAAAGCTAATCTTGAGTGGGTGGAGGAGCAATTTAGAAAAACAGAGGTAAAAATAGCTAAGCTTGAGCCCAATGACTCACAGGTAATATTTATGTAAGCACCAAAGTTCAGTAAAGAGAAGAAAGAGATCCCAATGGCAGATACCAGGATGAAATTATCCTTTCGAGCTGGCTCAGGATTAAAAACGAAAGCCCGAAGTTCATAAAAGGTCTCGGGGAAAACGGCAGAGGCCTGTCTGCTTGCTCTGAGGCAAAACACGTTCAGGAGCTGACCTTGGAGAGCAGGCTGCAGCGGGGGCCGAAGCTCACACCAGAAACCACTGCGGTTCTTCTGCTCTGCCCATGGAGAATGACCGCGGTGCTACTGCTGCCCTGGTGAGCAGACAGCCTGCTACCTGGTGTTCAACACCACTGTCTTCCCGTGGGGATGCCAGGCAGCTCGGGTGCAGAAGGGAACTGGGCCATTCTGTCCCCAGGCACTGCCCATGCTTCCGTCTTGCAGGTGACTCCCTGCTCAGAGACTGGGGCAGGGGAAGCCCACAGAGCCTGCCAGTCTGTCTGGCTATGAAGAGGAGACTAGGAGGGAAGCAGGAATGGGCAGCTGTGCAGAGAGCTCGGAATTCACCATGAGGTCCCCTGAAACCTTAGGTGCACAGTGATGTGTGTGTGTGAGATTCCAAGCAGCTGGGAAAGAACACTGAGAAGCAGCCCAGAGACTTCCGAAGCTGACATGGGGCAGCCCCAGCCCGAGGCAATGACCTCACAGGGCCCTGGGAAGGGCCCGCAGCAGGGTGCTTCCCTGCTCAGCAGTCTACTGGGGACCTGCCCTAGTAAGAATGTTTCAATAGGACTGCTACACGCCTGTCAGGGTGGCTGGACTTTTTAAAAATTAAAACAAGTACTGTGAAGCAGTGGGGTTGCTCTCACATTTTGGGGGAACAGAAAAATGACCCAGTCACTGTGAAACATTTTACAGTTCCTAATAGAGTATGTGTTTAGAGAATGATCAGCCCCTGACGCTGAGGGATTTACCCCAGACGTGAAAACACACAAATGTTCATAGCCCGCAGGCCTTCAGCGGCGCTGGGGCACTGCATGAGGAACGCATACACATGGGAGGCACAGAGACAAACTTGCCCAAAAGTTACTTAAAAGAATGAGACACCAAAGACTATATCAGAGAAACCAGTGACAGTTCTGTGACAGACAGGGACCTGAACACAGGTCACCACGGACAGGGAGCCACATGGGGTGAGGGACCCCTTCATGTCCTGCCCTTGGTGGCTACATGGCTGTGTATATTTGTGACAACCTGCAGAACGTATACTTAGAATGGGTGCTGTTTACTATAGGCAAATTATATCTCAACAAGGAGGAAAATGAAGAACAAGAAACCGCCTTCCTGTAGCAGAGGTCAAACCAGCTGCTGCAATGGGGCTCCCTGTAAGCCAGAACACAGCTGTGGAGGGCCTTCACTCAGGTGGGATCAGGGTGTCTCTGCGGGCAGAGCCCCGCCCCCAGACACGCACACGGAGACACACGCACACATGCACGGAAGGCAGGAGCCCTGCTCCAGCTGCCCACTTCCGGGTCAGCGCTCCTACAATCCGACTGCAGTGCAGGCTCCACTGCACCGGGGTGAGCGACTGGCTCTGTCACGCCTGTGGGCAGGGGCTGCTGACAGACCCTGGGAGAGGAGGGGAGGGCTCCAGGATCACTAGTGAGTGCGCTCCTCCTGCAGCCGCGAGCACCAAGTTCTAGAGTCACAACCAGAGGCCCTGTTTGAGGGAACTGTACTGTACCTCCTCCTCCCTTGGGTGCAGGGAGAAGGCTTGGGGTTGAGATTGTTGTGTGAATCTCACGGCCACCACTCACTGTCTGTGTAGCCGTGAACTACTGCCTCATTTTAGCCTTCTGGCCTACTCCATGGGGTGGCAGAAGCATTCCAAAACTGATTGCAGAGGCAGGAGGATCGCTGCAAGTTTGAGGTCATTCTGGGCCACAAAGTGAGTTCAAGGCTAGTTTGAATCATACAATGAAACCCTGTTTCAAAAAAGACCAAAACAATGGGCTGGGGATTTAGTTCAGCGGCACAGTGCCTGCCTGGCAAGCGTGAGGTCATGAGTTCAATCCCCAGTACCAAAAAAACAAAAAACAAAAAACAAAAACAAATCAAACGACGCAAGCAGGGCACAGTAGCACATACTGCTCAGCCTCAAAAGTCAAGATACTTAAACAAAAACTTCATACAGGTTTACCGTGTCTGGTAAGCCCCAGTAGAACAGCATTACACCACGGTCCCGTGTTGCTCGTCCCCCTAACTAGTGCACTTATGTGGCTTCGTGATGGTCTTTCTTGAGGAGCATTACGAGCACTCATTCTTTTGGGTTTCTGAGATGAGTCCAAGTTGCCCAAGCTGGCCTCGGACTTGTAATCAGCCTGCTGTGCAGGTGGCACTACATATATGTGAACCCTGCACTTGGCTTGAATATGAGTTTTTTTTTTCTTTTCTTGGGTTTTTCTGAAATAGGTCTGCTGGCTATGTAGTCCAGGCTGGCCTCAAATTCACTCCTCCTGCCTCAGCCTACTGTTATGGTTAAGAGCTTCCAGGGCCAGTCTAAGCATTGGTTTTTGAGTCACAACAACCACCTAGGAATGGTTGTTCGACCAATTCCAGCTAGGATTGTGGGTCAATGTATTTAATGTCTATCATTGCTACCTCATCGGTAACACAGAAATCTTTAGAGCACTTCCTTCCTGCAGGCCATTTATGAAGGAGCCTCATACGGCGGATGAAAATCAATGACAGAAAGCAAGGAACTGTGACTGTGACACCAGCGTGACTATCTGAGCCCCTCCATCCAGCCAGGTCTGCATCCGGAGTATTATCCCCTAGGAGCCAACAAATCCCTGTTATCACCTAAGTTCTCCTAAGACGTGACTCTGTTGTTCCTCATGACTCAACGTGACCCAGTGACAGAAGTTCTTTCACCAGTAAGGACAGTAAGCCATGGCCACAGCATGGCCAGACCTTGTCACTCACCTGACAGTGAGATTCCTTCTGCGAGCCCATATGGCAGGTAGGCAAAAATGATCATCATGCCGAACTCCAAGGACGGTGTCTTCCTCAGGTCGATGTGCTTCAGCACGTAAATGGCAACACGGTCAAGGAAAAGGGGTTCGGAGCACTTGATGGGGAGATGCGGAGATGTCACCAAACTGCTGCCTTTCAAATATATAAATAAATACGAAAGACTTGGAACATTTCAAGGTTACAACTGACAAATTATTATGGATTTTTCCTTTGTAAAGACACTGTTGTTAAAAACCAAAGAATTGAACAAAATGCTACAGAATTCCTGAGACAAATGGAGGGCAATTAAAAACCAAGCCAGGTCAACTCCTTTGAAAACACCGACCTATGGGGCGAGACTGAGCTCAGCGCTACAGTGACTGCCTCGAGAGCGCTGGCAGGCCCCGGGTTCCTTTCCCCGTACTGAAGGAAAACCAAAAGCTGCACCGAGGACTGGGAATGAGCTAGAAATGCCGAGGCTGCGGATGTGCTGAGGATGGTGCAAACTGCCACCACTTCCAGAACACCAGAAGCGATCGCCAAGGGCAGACACCATCTTGCCTTGCAGGGACCTGATGTCCTGCTGAAGAACTGTCCCCATTCCTGGCCATTTCTACACCAGGGCCCTGCGGAAGCGGAGGCTGTGTAGACGCAGATGCTGTTCCTAAAGCCCGCCCTGCAGCCCAGACTCTCTGTTTACTTGGCTTTGGAACACTTCTGAAAAACATAAATACTGAACTGGACCAAGGTTTTTCTTCTTTTCCGTTCTGTTTATTGGTACAATAATGTCTGGCCGAGAAGCTGTCAGCCAGCTCAACAGGGCTTTTAACTTCTGGACAAAGGAGCTGATGGGAAAACTCAACAGAATGGCAGAAAAACACAGCTGCACCAGGCGCGTCTTTCCCAGCCATCTGTGAGACAACCTGCTCGGGGAGGGCCAGGCGGCCACATCCCGGGGACACAGCTCAGGCGTGCACACAAGCAGCCTGGTGGCCTGTTTTAAACAGGATGAATTTCCAATGGGAGTGAAGGTGTCGTTGCTTTAACAAGCCTTTCCTTCTCTGGCTGGAATGCTCGTGGCTGTGAAGCAACAAAATCTGCAAATAACTTCAATGGAGCTCACTCTGGAAGCCCCTTTCTAACCCTTCAGATACGCATTTTCAGTGAATAAAGAGTATTTTAAAATTCATTTTCTTTCTTTTCTTTTTCTTTTTTCTGTCTTTTTGACACAGGGTTTCGCTATGCAGCTCTGGTGGCCTTGAACTTGTAGTGATCCTGCCTCAGCCTTTCGAGTGCTGGGATTACAGTCGTGCACCACTATGCCTGTCCTCTCAATTTCGCTTTCAAAGAAAATTTTATTTCCAGTTTTCTGAATGTGCAAACAGAGACAGTGGAAAAGAAGTCATGTGCTTATGGTGGTTGCCCTCTGGAAACTGAGAAGTCTCCTAAGTGATACCTCATACTCAGTAGGATGTGTGCTTTTTAAGCTTTGAGCAGTAACATGCCACATTTCATCAGCTCAATTTAAAAACCCTTGAATTTGTGAATCAGAGCATTTCTCAAACCAGAACTCAGCATAAAAGTTTCCCTTTAAACAAAACCTTAGATGAAAATTGCCCCCTTAAGAGACAGGAGAAAATAGCTGGAGATGCATATAATCAAGAAGAATCTCCTCTACTCCCTGTGCCATCACATTAAAAGGATATTAAAGCAGAAATTAAGCCAGTCAGAGTGCCGAGTGCTGCGGAGCCAAAGAACATTTTGAGGAAGTAGCCAAGGGCTTGTAAAAATGTTTGCCACCCACTGACATCTGACGTATTTTTTCTTGTTAAACCTTCAGCTGTGCTAGGAAACAGAAAACAAGTTAAAATGTTACAGATAAAGTTCTCAGGTATTAATGTGTGAAAAGCTTATTTCTGGTTTATTCATGCATTCGTCCATTCCATTATTCAGTTGAGCAAATGCTTATCTTATTTTGTTAGTTTCCTGGGGTTCAGAGGTGACACTGAAGTAGGTGCCCCCGAGGAGCTCCCTAAGACTAACGATAAGAGTGATGCCAATCTGGGAAGGGTGAATGGCTGCAGAGGCACAGAATGGCATCTGACTCAGACGGCAACACAGTCCCAAGGGAATGTGGGCCAGGCCGAGCTGGGATGGAGTCCACCAGAGTTCACAGAAGGGAGGCCCAGCGCAAGGTGCACGTCATGGAACACGCGCACACACACGGGTTAGTGAGGCTCCAACCTGGGGAGCAGGATGGGGGACGGGACGGGCCAGGCTGGGAGACACTGGCCTATCACCCTGAAGGCCAGAGTCAATGGCATGTGCACAGGGAGTGCAGGCTAAGGATGAGGCTGAAGCCCTGCCTACGCCCCAGGCAAAGCAGCACCAGGGTTTTTTGGCAGTGAGGGTGGCTTTGGGGACACTGAGGAGGAAGAACTAAGGAACTTTCCTTTCACTGTAACAGAACAAACAAAAATGTCTGAAGTCATTAAATATAGCTGCCTGTTTTAGCCTCAGGGAAAAAAAAGCATCATGCCACACATGCGTGAGGCCATTTGCTGTAAATATCCTCCTACTCAGTTCTCTGGACTCTCAGCTCCGTCCTCTCCTATCTTTGCATCAGCTGTTCCCCCTGTCCAGTCCTCAGCTCTCAGTGTGTCCACCTGTCTCCCTTCCTCTCCGATCTCCCACTCCAGATAGTGCCGCCCTTGCTGTGGTCACCCCTGTCTTGCTACCAGCCCAAGTGACCTCTTTAAAATGCTTACCTGGCCTGTTCCACTCCTAGGCAGTGTGTGCCGGCCCCAGGAGGAAGCCCAGGCTTAGCAGGAGGAGGCTCCCTCCCCTCTCTGACCTCATGCTCTCCCCTCTCTAGGAGGACCCATTGTCACTGGCAGCTACCCATGGGCCAACTCCGCTGGCTAACTCTGTCATCTGCCCCGTGACCAAGAGCAAGGGTCAGTGACACTCCCCTGACCCCTCACACAGGCAGCTTTACAGGTCCTCACAGCCTGCTTTCCCACCACAGTGAGTCACTCTGCGAGCCTCTGTCCATCCGGCTGGGGCCTACAGCACGGCCCAGCACACTTTAGACACTCGTGTGTTTCACCTGAACTGTAAATAAAGCCAAGAATCGTCGACAGCACTTCATTTTTGTTCTTTGCTTCTTTTGTGAGACAGGATCTCATTATGCAGTCTGGCACTGACTTAACTATGTAGCCTGGGCTGGCATCAAATCATGGCAATTCTCCTGCCTCAGTCTTCAGAGTGTGCGGACTGCAGGTGTGTGCAAATGTCCAGCTCTTCTCATTTCTCTTTCTTTCTTTTTCTTTCTCTCTCTCTCTCTCTCTCTCTCTCTCTTTCTTGTCCTTTTGAGACAGGGTCTCGCTATGCAGTTCAGGCTGGCCTTGAGCTCACTAGCCTAGGCTGGTCTTCAACTCACAAAGATCCTCCTGCCTCAGCCTCCCGAGTGCTGGGATTACAGGTGTGAGCCACCACGTCCCACTTCTTCATTTCACTTTTAGCAGAATAATCTCTGACAAGCCAGGCGTGGTGGGGTTCCCAGCCTGGCCTCAAAGTGAGACCAAGGGTGACTGAATTGCATAGCAAAATCTTGTCTCAAAAAGGCAAACAAAGAAACATAAATGTCTGACAAAAGGGAAACGTGGGTAAAGACCTAAAGAAGCCTTTTCTGGAGATCCACAGCTAAGGACAACAAAACAGATTCTGAGAAGTCTTACAAAAAATAAATCTGCCTTTCTGGACACAAACTCTCAGGACTCTCCTGAACACACTATCTCCCTTTCTCCTGTCTTTCCCCGCAGGTCATAGGTTAAAGTTCATCTTGGGGACTGTGGGGTCTCTCCTTGGAGCAGGGCTCTGGAAGGTCACTGTCACCTGTGGGGACTGCAGACCACACGCTGAGTGTCACCACTGCTGAATGCAGGCTGTTCTCGCTGCTTCCTTTTTATACTGAGGGAGCCGAAGCCCAAGGAAACTAACAGCTTAACAGCAGGCCAAGCTACCCACGGGCTCTGGTCTCCACATCAAGAAGACACATTTGGGCTCTTCCAACTTGGCAATCCTTAGTTATCTTTTGCTGTTCTTTCGTTTTGTTATTCTTTCTTTTCCACATGCTACTTCTTACAGTCGCACATCTCCTGTCTTGAGACTCACAGGACAGTGCTGCTTCACCACCCGTTCCGTATTCTTAGGTAGTAGTTAGAGAAGATGTACGGTTCTCTGCGTCAACTGGTATGAGAATAAACTGCCACTGAAACACACTGACATCCAAAATAATCTAAAGTTAATAAGGAAACAGACAATACTTTGCTTTCTGCTAGTATTCAGGAAGGTAACAGCACTTAAAACGTAGTCGTTTGTTCTCTGAGTTGCAAAGATGAAAGTGTCAGGTCACTCTTCTCAACACCCCTCTTAACTATGAGGTGTGACCCCAGCTCCTAGCCCGGGAACGAGGACCACAGCTCCCAGCAGCTGGGGTTCCGGTGGCACCAACAGAAGAGGCCAGCTCTGCTCGTCCTTTCCTCCCACTGCGGTCTGAAAGTGGCCCCTGGTCTTGCGGGCTTGGTGCACACTGAACAGCCTTCCTGAGTCCTGCACACTCACTGGTGCCTCTCGCTTACTTCCCTACAAGCAGCTCTCACCTACAGGGACCAAGACCCTGAGAGCCCCTGGTCTTTGAGCAGCCGCTCATAGAGGGCTCCACCCAAGCAGCCAAGCAGCTGCGCACCCTCTGCGGCCACTGAGTGAGGAGACCCCTGAGCTGGCCTGCGCCTCCCTGGGGAGGTGGTGGAAACACCAGGTGCACGCTGTGCCCAAAGCCAGCTGTGAGAACAGGCAGCACAGGTGATCTGGCCTTCAAAGGCACTTTTCCAGTAGGAACATCTGTCTCCATACAATGGTGCCACCATTTCTCATTCTTTCAAAAATACCTTCTTAGCCTTTTTGTAGCAGCAAGACCTGGAAAAGTTCACAAAAGGTCCTAGCTCTGACAGATCTTTTTCTTTAAATAAATCAGAGAGAAAGCAGTTGAATTTAGCTCCTAATATATAAAAATAACTCATATGCCATCTCCAAGTTGGGCAAAATTCCTTATCACAAATGTTCAATATGCACAGCAGGATATGAGATAAAAGTAAAACCCAGAGAACTAAGCAGCTTTCAGAACAGATCGTAGGTAAGAAAAAACATTGCCATCAGAGTTTTTAAAGGTCTTGTAGCATGAGGTATGATAATTTCCTAACAAAGCTATAGAAACATGTGCCAAGACAAATATGGAAAAGCCAGTGAGAAGAAATATATCACATCATAGTAAATCTAAAGAAAGCAACACTGTACCCAGTAAGATGATGTTACAGAAGACTATCATTATTTTGTTCTGGTTCAGGCAGGGTCTTGCTATGTAGCTTCCATGGCTTCAAACTCTCTATGTAGCCCAGACTGGCCTTAGAATCCACCTGCCTTGGGCTGGAGATTTAGCTCAGCAGCACAAGTGCCTGCCTGGCAAATGCAAGGTCATGAGTTTGATCCCACCCCACTCCCAAATCCTTCTACCTCAGCCTTCCAGGTGGTGGGACAACAGGTACGTGCCACCAGCCCACCTGAAGATTACTGTATTAACTCTGTTCAATGAGAAAATGTTATTGAAATATAAGCTCATGTAAATAAAATATATGTACACTTACATCAAGTTGTTAACCATAATTATACACAGTAAAGATTTGTGTAGCTTTTTCTTTTTTGCTTGTTTTCACTAAATTTTCTGTGAATATACATTATTACTTTTAAAGTAACAAAAAATGCTCTAACATACGGTTTTAGAAGACTGTTAAATACTTCTTCCAATTAAGTAATATTTGGTAAGCTCTGCCTGCAAAGGTAGGCAAAACCAGGCTAAAATGGTAGAAATTCCTGGTGGCAGGGCTGAGGAGGAGGACAGGGCCTCACATGTCACACAGTGCAGCGTCTACCCTCAGCTCTTCCTCTAACCCGAGCCTGAGGGCTTCGTAGCCTCGTTTTATGGCTGAGGAAACAGGAGCTCCCAGAGGCACAGTGGCTAGGCCAGCCTCATACAGCCAGTTGGCACCAATAGGCCCCGAATCTGGGGAAGCCCGACTTCAAAACCTGGGCTCGGGCTGGGGATGTAGCTCAGTGGGAAAGCAGCTCCCTAGCTTCTGTAAGGCCGGAGCTTTATGTCCCAGTGCCAACAAAAACAAACAAAAAACCCTGGGCTCTTTCCCCTACAGAACACCATTTTATTCTGACATTTTATAATTTGGCTCTAATTTCTCAGATCCCATCAGATAAGGCAGTAATGCCAGTGAACACCTGAAAAGACCTGCTATTTCCAAAGTAGCTTTTTTTTTTTTTGTCTTTTTGAGACAGGGTCTTGCTATGCAGTTCAGGCTGGCCTTGAGCTCACTTTGTAGCCCAGGCTGGTCTCGAACTCAGAAGGATCCTCCTACCTCAGCCTCCCAAGTGCTGGGATTACAGGCGTGAGTCACCACGCCTGGCTGCACCAAAGTAGCTTTTACACAACGGCATCTTCCGGCAGGACCCCTACTGCACAGCCGTGAAGGGGGGAGAGTAGGGAGTGTGAGGGGGAGCCTCTGTCTGCTGCTCTTTTGTTTGCACTGTGGCTGGAACCTAGGACCTCGCACATGCACAGCAAGCACTGCACTTCAGCACTGCAATAAATACCCAGTCCCATGCTTCTTGCTTTTTCTTTTTCTTTTCCCTTCTGAGGCTGGGTTTTGCCATGGAGTTCAGGCTGGCCTCAAACTCGCAGCAATCCTCCTGCCTCAGCCACCTGAGTGCTGGGAGCTTCTTGCTTTTGTCTCCAACAATGCTGCCCAAAGCTGATCCTTGGGCTGGCTGCTTATCACCACCTGGGGAATGCACTAAGACTGAAGGTCTGGACTCACAAAGGTCAGCTGAATGAGGCTCAGAGGTTAAGTTCTCTCAGTGATTCTGATGCTGATGAGAAGCTGGGCTCAGCAGGCACAGTAAGAGAGAGGTTGGAAGAGGCGGGCTCTGCTCTCCTCATCACTGACCCAGGACCCTCACACAGCCCTGCAGTGCAGGATGGCTTGTGGCCGGTGGAGATACAGAACGCCAGCAGATGGGCTGGTCACCCAGGGGACAAGCCGCCTTCAGGAAGCTGAGCGGACTGTCTGACCTTTTGTTACAGGGCCCCTCTGTTCTGTCAGGCGTGTACTTACTTGGTCAGGACAATGGAGACTGCATCGTTGAGAATACTTTCTCCGAAGACCAGCATGTTGAGCACGGGGTCCACGTGCAGAGCATTGAAAATGGCGATAGTGGCAACTGGGTCGACAGCAGATATTAGGGACCCAAAGGCAAAACTGGAAGGAGACAGAGGGAGGGCGGGCGCTGTGAGGCATTTCACCTGGCCCATACACCAAAGCGTCGGCCAGCCACCATGGTCCACACACCCCAAGGGCACATGCGGCAGCTGAAGAGTGACAGAAGACAGCATTTTTTCCCTGGCATCTGCTGCTGGACACTGAGGGTGGGTCAGAGGCCACCCTGGAAGAAGAGCTGGGAATGGCCATGTTCTACCTGCCAACACTGACACCTGATCCTGCCCGGAGATGCATGAGGCTTCTGCTCAAATACACGGCACGCTGCCCAGCTCTGCTGGTCAGAGTAGCCAGAGGCCAGTAGTCCATGAGGGCTGGTCTGACCTCCGCTCTGCCTCTGCCACCAGGCTGAGTGCCATCGGGACCAGCACTAGCCTCCACTCTGATGTGCGACATCTAAGAACACAGCACAGTCACCGTGACTCCGGAGGCACAGCCTGGGCAGCTGACGTCGTGCTGGCTTCCAGGTCTCAGAGAAGGAACCCAGCACAATGCTGCCACCTCCAACAAATACTCCCCAACTGCCTCCTCTGCTTCATCCCCCAGCACACATTTCTGTGGTGCTCGCCACACCCCAGGCCTTGCCCTACCCTCACTGCAGGCACTAAGCCAGCATCGCTGCCAACTGAGGACAGCCGGATGTGTGTGAGCCCACTTCGTCAGGGGGTCAGGGAAGCCCTCTGTGAACTACGTATTTGAACAAAAAGCTCCGTGACAAGAAGTGGCCAAGATACTTGGGACAGAGGTGATGATGAGTACTCCGAATCTGGGAGTCGGGCTGGCCGCCTGTGAAACAGGGAAGCTGCGCTGGTGCTGGCGGTGGCGGGGTGGCAGGAGACTGCAGAGGCCTGTGATGGAGGCCCAGGCCCCCGGATACCTCAGGGCTACAGGGAGAGTCTGGAGGGTTTCTCTCCCCTGGTGCTTGGCGACTCCCTCTAGTGCACCTGCGGGCCTCCTTGTCCTTGGCTTCTGTGAGGCCTCCTAGCTGGCTGAGCAGCACTAGGCCTGTCCCCGTACTCAATGGGGGACAAAATATGTAGCCTGAGGGTGCAGCGCTACTGTAGTCACCAGCCCCCAGACTGTTACCAAGCATGCAGTCTGCAAGGGCACAGTGACATTGGGCGTGGGGCAGGGAGCTCGTGCCTCTGCCCCAGCAGCCTTGGCAGAGGGGTGCAGATGGGAGGAAATGCCCGCTGCCTTGCTGACGGCACAGCCCTTTGTGTACTGCTTGGGGTTTCTGTGACAGCTTCATCCAGAGGAGCCTCTGATCTCAGGGAGGGCCGGGTCCCCACAGGGCCTCTGCTCAGACTTCATCCCCAAGGCTCACCATCCTCACAGGGGAAACTGCCTGCGTGTGCTCCCTTCGCAGGGCTGCCCCACGACCAGTGCTGCGCACAGCCCAGATGCTTGTGGGAGGGCAGAGAGGAAAGGACACACAGCAGAGGCAGCAGCTGCAGCCGGGGCCGTGAGGCCTCCTCTTATTCTCACCCCCTGCTCACAGCAACTGGGAGGGTGCAGGGGAGGAGGGCAGTGAAACGCGAGTCCTGAGGGAGCCGGGCCACAAGGGCTGTGCGTGGCTCAGGGTGCCGCTCGCATGGCCTCACTCCTGGATCCCAAGGAGTGCAACATGCGGCAGGGTGGACAGCCAACACGCTCCCTGTTCAGCACCCACACGCCCTGGTCTTGGTAAGAGCACCCCTGTCTTCCTATGGGGAGCCCTAGGGGCATCATCAGCGCTCTATCAGGTCCCAGGAATAGGCTGGCCCTCTCAGGAGGGGTGGCTGAGGGGACGCTGTGAGCCTGGGCCAGCAGCGCTGCCATGGGGGGACCGTGTGCCAGAAGGAGCCAGTCAGGGGACTGAGCTGAGACCACTAAGAACAGGAGAGTCCCAAAGCTGCAGGCCTTGGCGGTGTCACACCAGAAGCCATTTCCCTGGGGGCACCAGTCCTGTAAGCCAAATTTCCTTCCTTCCTTCCTTCCTTCCTTCCTGAAACACGGCCCGGCCCCAGAGGCCTGCGGCTGCGGGCAGCCTGGTCAGCAGTGCTTCCACGTCGGCCTCCGCAAGCAAGGCCAGGGGTGACAAGTGCAAATTTAAAGGGTGCTTTCATATTCCGTCACCTCCACAAGTAGCAACATCAACCAAATGAGAATGAAATTGACTGCGCTAGGGAAATCACCCAGGCATTTAGGGTGAACTCTGTCACAGAAATATCTCTAATACCACAATCGTGCCACGAGGTCATTTTTGTGTTTTTCACAGCGCAGAAGTTGGGACAAGTGCTGTGTGCCTCATATTTAGCCTGTCTGGTGTTTCTGAAGCTGGTAGAAGCTGTCGACATTTAAAAACAGGAACAGATTCCCTGGCAACACCCAGAACACTGGGCTTTTTTTTTTTTTTTGTCTTTTTCATTTTTATTGGTACCCGGGATTGAACTCACGACCGTCTGCTTGCAAGGCAGATGCTTATGCCGCTGAGCTAAATCCCCAGCCCCAAACACTGGCCTTTTAATAAAACCTCTGTTTCAACAGGACCAGGTGTTCTAGTGGCAGAGTCTGTATACGGCTCTGCATTCCATCCCTGGCATCACATGGCAAGGAAGAGGTGAGCACTGTCGCCTTCGGGCAAACGTGTTCCCCTTCCACCCTGGCAGGCTCCCTCCTGAGGGAGCGGTCTCTAACAGCAGGGAGTACCCGCCCGCTACCTGCCCTCACCCCGCGTGTCTGCAGGCGAGCCCTGGTGCCCCTCCACCCGTCACCCCAGCTCAGTCTCACGAACAAGTGTCTGGCACCACCTGTGTCTCTGGCTGGGTGTCCCCCCGCAACTGCGGTGAAGGTCTGAGTGCTGACACCTCCTTCATGTCAGTGGGGTTCAGAGTTATCTAAGAAACCTGGGGCATCTGTTCTGCTTTATTTCCAGCTCCTGTGGAACAGGGATCAGACTGTGGCTATTTGTTTACATAGGAAAACTTCCTCAAAATTATACAGTCCAAACTAACTCTCAGGCAGGGCTGAGGGAAGATGGGAATGGAATGGGGATAATATCAGAGCACAGTTCTGAGAAAAGGGTTCCAAGAGTCTGGGTCCAAGGAGCTAGGTCGCTGCTAGACTGTGAGCTCTGCCTGCCCCAGGAAGGGCCTGGGGCTGCACACCTGGCAGTGAGAGAGAGGCCGCATGTTGCCAGGACTTGGTGGGGCTGCACCTGGCCTGGCACATGTTCCGCACTAGATCTAGTACTTTCTGAGACAGCCACCGCGACGGCCTTCTTTTGGGGGAGGTTTACAAGGTCTCACTATGTAGCCCAGGCTGGCCTCAAACTTATGAACCTTCTGCTCCCAGAGTAGTAACTGGGATTATTGGCTGGGCATGGTGACATCCACCTGTAACCCCAGCACTTGACAGTCTGAGATAGAAGGATCACCACAAGTTCAAGGCCAGCCTGGGCTACACAGCGAGACACTGTCTCAAAAAAGCAGAACAAAACTAATATATATATAGCCAAAGTAACTGGGAATACAGGGCAGGCCACCATGCCAGATTGCTCCTTACTAAACCAATTAAGGAAATTCTCAGGCCAGGTGTGAAGGCACACACACAATAATCCCAGCTGCCTGGAAGGCCAAGGCAGGGGAATCTCAAGGTGGATGCCAGCCTGGGCAATTTAGCAAAATCCTGTCTCAACAAAACAGTCAGGCATGGGAGGCTGAGGCAGAGGATCAGCGGTGAGTTCAAGGCCAGCCTGGACTACAGAGTGAGGTCCTGTCTCAGAAAACAAAGGAACAAAATAAATAAAACAAAGGGATATAGCTCAGTGGTAGAGTGCCCTTGGGCTTGATCCCCATTACACAAAAAGAAACGGAAATTCCTAGACAGGCTCCCAGACAGCACTCTCTGCCCAATGCTCACCAGCACAGCTCTGGGCCAAGAGGACATCACCACAGGGCCCTTGCACTGCCTGCTTCGCCTTCACCAGCCCGCCACTCCAGCCTTGCCTAAAAACTGAGAGTGAAGAGTCCCACTTTATTCTCCCCTCCAGTTGCAATCTATCAGAAAGACACTTTTACAGTACAGCTGTAGAAATACTGGGAAATTAGCTGAAGCTGATTTTTTTGTATGTTTGAGACAGGGTCTTGCTATGCAGTTCAGGCTGGCCTTAAACCAACTATGTGGCCCAGGCTGGCCTTAAACTTGTGGCAACCCTCTTGCCTCTGCCTTTGCAGTGCTGGGATGACAGGGGTGCACTACTATGCCCAGCCACGGCTACTTCTCCATAATAGTCAAAGGCTAGTGGTGCACTGTATGTGTGCACATGGGTGGGCAATTAGCCACCCAGTTACATCCTCTAGAGCTTAAAGTGCTCCCAACCAGCAATGCTTAGACTAAGAGTCTTCAAAAGTCCTCAATATAATTCTGATTCCTTTTAGAGATGAAAATTAATTCAGAATAGATTCTACAGCAGAAATCACCAGCAGGGGAGAGGGAGTGAAGAGTGAAGCACCACGCCCAGAAGCCACATGGAGCAGCGTCCCCAGCCTGCACGGCAGCCGCAGGGGAGTTGCAAAGTAAAGGATTTACCTGTCTGTCATGTTGAGTTTAGAGATTACATCAGCCTGTAAAATAAAACACACAAACACACAGACACACACAAAGAAAACCCCTGGAGAACAGTCAGGAAGATTAAAATGTCCATCAGTGCTTTATTACCAACTAATAAGGACATTAATCTTCAGTCCCCAAACCACTTTAAAAATAAAACACCTAAGTTTTGGGTTAAGCATGCATTCAATCACCATACCACAAAAACAGGGAACAGAATGCTACACTCTCCAAGCCCAGCTACGCAGTTTTCTTCCCTATTCCTCTTTGATACGAGAAGCTGAACAACGAAGAAAGCTGCATTAAGACAGATTTGTTCCTTCCAGTGCTGTCTAGGCAGTGACGGGGGAGGAGGTCAGCAGAAATGGGCTTCAGCTACCACGAGAAGAAAACCGCTGACACCAGGAGTGCTCTGCTGGCCGCCCAGGGCCTGAGCCGCAAGCTTTGGACACTGGGGGCAGCAAACTTTCTGCAAATGACAGTAAAGGAACTGGCACGTGCATGGACATGCATGGCGCAGATCTGCAGGCACTGCTTCCTAGGTGCATCTGATCTGGGTTCATGCATATTTAATTCAAAGCTCAAAGTGCAGAAGACTGGACTGGCCGCTGCCAAGTGGTCTGTAAAGTGGGGAAATCCGAGGTATATAATTCTACGGGGGAGGGCTCAGAACTGAGTGAAAAGACTCAGAATCATCTCTGATTTAAAAGTGAATTATTATTTTAAAAAATATTCAAACCTGACTCTGTCAACTCTGTAACAAAGCTGATACTGTTACCAGCGGCAACCCATGACAGTCTGTCATGTGCTGCATCGTTAGGCCTTTCAGTTTAAGACACTACTGAGCTACTTTGGGAGACTGTGGGAAAGATTCACTCAGTTCCAGACACTACAACCCTAGCTGGGAAAGTGCTTAGAGACACCCTTGCATGCTCCTGCTGTGCCTCCTGCACTGGGGAGCCCTTCCAGGAAGTCAGGGAGACTGCAGACCCAGGCCCAGGAGGGGGCCCCACCCCACTTCCTACTGGAGCTCTCAGAAGGTGAGACTGTCAAAGTCTTTCAAAGATATTTTTCTTACCTGGCCCAGAAAATAAATTCCTCCACCTACTACAAAAGCAGAGATCGCCGTACCAAATACAGCAAACAAGGTGATGGAGCCAATGTTCTGAAAGAAGTTGCCCTGTTTAAAAAAGCACACAGAAATGATTACAGTGGCCTGCCACTGCATCTGCCCTTCTGGCTGGCTGGACTCTCGGCAAGGGCACCACAGCCTGCCTGCAGGGCCCTGGAGTCACACACAGCCCCCGGCCCCGCCCCATCAGCTCTCCCTAGACCACACACACTCCGGGTCCCTCTCCACTCCCTAATGCTCCCAGAATGATCCTCGCAGAAGACAAATCTAAGGATGCTGCCTTCAAGCGACCCCACTTCCTCCTGAAATGCAGCTTAATGTAATCCTGGATGGCTCAAGCCCTGGGAAGGCCTCTGTGATCTCTGGGCAGCACACTGGCCTTTGTGTGCTGGCTTCTGCGGGCATTTTCATTCTTCCTCTTTGCATGGAGAACTTTCAGTATGTGTGACTTCAAGACACTTACTTCCTGCCGGGAATTTAGCTCAGCGGCGTAAGTGCCTGCCTGGCAAGCGTGAGATCATTGAGTTCGATCCCCAGTACCAAAAATAAAATAAAATAAAATAAAATAGTCACCATTCAAAAAAAATAAAAGACACTTCCTGAAGGATGGCATCCTCGGTCCCTTACCTGGCTCCCAGCTGGGGTCCTGCTCTTACGTGTGGGCCATTCCCAATGGTATCAGACATGGCTCAGTCACCTACGTAACTATTTGACTAATATCTGTCTTTCTCACAAGGCTGCAGGCTCAATGGGGCAATGAAATCAGCTTTTATACAACACAGTCACCCCCACGCTGCCTGTCAGATGGAAGAGGCCTGTAAACAGCTACAGAAGGATCAAGTGGGTTTCAGATCTATCAAGGCCTAAAAGCTATACAATTATAGTTTTTCATTTAACTAAGAAAAGGTGATTATAAAGAATATCAAGATAACAGATTATACCATCAGAAACTTTCTGTGCCGTCCAGGTCTTTTAATGATTTTATCTCATTCTATTGGTATCATCATCAAATTTTGGGGGAGGGTCTTTCTGAGAGAAGAGCTCACTATGCAGTTCAGGTTGGCCTTCAACTCACTTTGCAGCGTAGGCTGGTCTTGAAGTCACAGTGATCCTCCTGCCTCAGCCTTCCAAGTGCTGGGATTACCGGCCTGCACCACTACGCGCACCTTCAATTTTTTTTTTTCAGAAATTTTTTTTTTCTTTTTCCTTTTTTGTGGGTACCGGGGATAGAACTCATGACTGCCTGCTTACAAGGCAGGTGCTTATGCCGCTGTGCTAAATCTCCAGCCCCTCAATTTTGTTTTTTGAGACCAGGTCTTGCTATGCAGTTCAGGCTGACCTTGAATTCACTATGTAGCCCAGGTTGGCCTAAAACTCGAAGGATTCTTTTGCTTCGGATGGGATTACAGGCCTGTGCCACCATGCCCAGCTCATCACCCAGTGTGTCAGATAAAATATGCATGTACCTATCCTTCACAATATTTAATAGAAAATATTTAAGTCCAAAGAGCACAATAGGCCAGGGATTTAGCTTAGCAACATAAGCTCCTGCCTGGCAAGTGTGAGGTCACAAGTTTGATCACTGGTACCAAAAAAAAAAAAAAAAAAAAAAGAACAACACAGTAACATCTACCAGATTTCACAAGGATTAGCTCGGCATATAATATGTCACTCTGGGAGGCTAAAGCAGGAGGATCTCAAATTCAAACCCAGTTTGGATATCTTAGTGACTCAGCAAGAGCTTGTCACAAAAATATAAAGAAGGGCTGGGGGGACAGAGCTCAGTGTGAAGGCCCTGAGTTCACACTGTAGTACTGCTTAAAAAAATCCATAGCATTGGCCAGGGATTTAGCTCAGTGGCTTTAGCGCCTGCCTGGCAAGCACTAGGCCGTGAGTTCGATTTCCAGTACAAAAAAAAAAAAAAAAATCTGTAGCACTGAGGCAATGAAGCTGTTAAATTCTGTGGGCTCTACTCCATCCTAACTGTTGGTATAGACAAGAATCCTAGTTTTTAGCTAGGAATATTGGTTTACACCTGTAATCCCAGCACTCAGGAGGCTGAGGCAGGAGGATTACCCCCAAGTTGCAGGCCAGCCAGGGCTACATAAGTGAGCTCAAGGTCAGCCTGGACTACACAGTGAGATTCTGTCTCAAAAATAAATAAATAAAAACAAAGAATAAAATACTTAAAAGTCAAGTTTCTGTCTTCTTTGGTGGAGAGGAGAGGAGAGAGTAGACAAGAGTCTCGGAGTGTGGATTCCCAAATCCCATCAGTCCCTTTCATATCAAATATCACACTTTTCTCTGGAAACTCATCTTCAAAGAAATATTTTTCTACAAAACTATTATTTTCCTCTGAGTTTTAAACACACTTATCTTCAAAAAATTAGGCAGGGCATGGTAGCCCGCTGCTGCAACCCCGAGTGTGTACCATGCCTAGTGTAAGGGCTCACTATGACTCCCTAGGGAACGGGATCCTAACCCCAGACAGTGACAGTGACAGTGTCGGTGACAAGCAGACCAGAGCAGCAGCACTCCACTTAGTTAGTGCAACGAGCAGTGCTGTGCTTCCATCTCTCATCCAGCCTAAATTTCTACACAATCTGGGAAGCAGGGTTTGGGGGTGCTGAGCTTCTACTTTTAACTTTTACCTATCACAGAGCCTGCAGGGGACACCGTACGGTCAGGCCTGCGGGTCTCGGCATCCAGAGCCCTCTCAGGCTCCTCCTTCCCCTTTAGAGTTGGTCCAGCCTTAGTTCTTCCAACACGCACCATTTGAGGGGGCGTCTTTCTGAGACAGGGTCTCGCTACACAGGTCAGACTGGCCTTAGGCTCACTTTGTAGCCCAGGCTGATCTCAAACTTCCAACGATCCTCCTGCCTCAGCCTCCCGAGCACTGGGATTACAGAAGTGTGCCGCCATGCTTGGCCAACCCTCACCATTTTTTTTATGACATTCTCAAAATACCTGCTATATTATTAAATTGAATCACTTTATTTAGAAACTCAATTGCATTTATATTTAAAGAAGATTAACACAGGAGAACATACATCAACAGGTGTGAAAGGCCAGAGCCACACTTGAGTTGAAGGGCAGAGTCTTCGACACTGCTGGCTGGGAGCTGGGAGGCAAGAATGGGCAGAGCAACTGCCCAGGAGAGACCAGGCCAGGGACCTGAGCATGACCGGCAGGGACAGAAAGGGTCTGACTCCATCCTAAAGGTGAAGCCAGGCCAGGCAGAGCAGAGAGACGGAGGCCCAGGGGTGGTGATGAATAACTGTGAGTTAAAGCACAGGACAGGGCACAGAGAAGAGACCAGAAGGAAGGATCCGCCCAAGAAGGGACAGGACTCCCGGGAAGTGAGCGGAGAGAAGCAAATGGCCTGAGGCACATTTCCTTCTTCCCTTAGGACAAAGAGTGTCCTCTTACTAGGTGTGAGTCCGCATCCAACACGAGAGGTCGGTGTGTCATCTGCATCTGTGTGCCAAGGGAGCTCATGCTGGCCATCTTCCCTGGCAAAGCACTGTCCTGAGCAAGCACTGGCTCGCAAGTCACACAGCCTGGAGCCACTGGAGCAGCTAACAGTTCTTGTCTGTTACTACTGTGTGCCCCCAAGAAGGAAAGGGGCGCTGCTACGTTTACACCCAAACTCTTAGGAAACTTGCTCCTGGACACGAAAAGCCTTCCAGACCAAAAGCCCCCAAGTGCCAGAGCCTCACCTTGTGTAAAGAATATCCCGACTCAAAGATAATAGGTGGAAGCAAGAGCAGGAAAAACATATTCGGACGAAACATTTCTTCTTCCTGTAAATATAAAGTGGACATTTTCAGAGGCACGGAGTGTATGCTACTAAGAAATCAATCGGTGAGGAGGTGAAATCCTCATTCTCTCAAGAGTGGAAACGAATGCTGCGTGAATGACTACTGGATAATAAAACCACGCAAAAAGAGGCCAGAAGGTAGCTGCATTTGAACATGTAGGGATTTTTTTTTTTGAAGGGTAACCAGCAAAAGAAACAGCACAATGGACTGCTTCCAAGCATAACAAGCATGCTTTTTATTCCTTACTAAGGAAAGACAATTAATTTTAATTAGCTTTAATTCACACACATGCAAAAACAATTCCACAAATTGGAACCCTCCAGGAAAAGCGTGTGGTCAGCCCCTAAGGGTCCACTTAGAGAACAGAGGAGCCCACATGTGCCCCACAGCTCTGCCTGCCCTGTGCCTATCGCACCCTTTGCCATCCGCCTGCATCGCGCTGATGCCGTGGGAAGGCCGCAGAGCAAGCCCTGCGCCAGGTTTCCTGGCGTGGATTTAAATGCCACAATGAAATGATGGCTCTTCCAGGGAGGAAACAAGGAGAGCGCTGCCTTCTACATTAATGGAGCTCTTTAACTGCTGGTAGGGCCAGGGCAAGATCCTTAAGCCAAAAATGCAACGCGTTCTACCCAGGTTATTTTATATCACAGAATTAGGCTCCTTTTCCTATTAATGCTCCCGTCACAATCTTGACAGTCTCATTTCTTGTCAAAATCACTATTCAAAAGGATGACAAAGTGTATTCTTAGAAATGTATAGCTGTTACCTTAAAGTCTAAAATAACATCCAAAAAAGACTCAAAATAGAACCAAATGGTGACTTCTGAAAAATGTCCCATGACGTCTTAAAATAGCATCACCACTTGCTTGTGACTCAGACGGGGCCCCTGTGAAATCCAGTGGGCTGCGCACTGCATGTTTCGGGGCAGACCAGTCTGACCACCAGGCAGCCCTTCTGGAGATCCAGAAACTAAACCCCGGGGGATGGAGAGGCCGAGGCCGAGGGGATGCCCAGCGCCCCTCCCCCACACCCCCTTCCGTCCTCTGTCCTCGGCCTCCCGGAAGTGGCTCTCCACCGGGACCTCACGTGGAAACGGTCTCTGTGCGTGGGAGGGTCAGGATCCAGCTAAGGGAAGGGCAGTGAAGGGATCACACCTGGACAGGGCACCTAAGCCCAGCGAAAGTGAACTTGTAGGAGACAGAAAAGGGCACAGGGACATAGAGAAGGCCACATGAAGCCAGGGACAGAGATGGGAGCTATGCTGTCATAAGCTAAGGGACGCCAGGCCCATGGGACACTACAAGAGGTGACGAAGGATTCTTCTCTACAGCCCTTCCCACACCTTTATTTTCATTTCTGGCCTTCAGACTGTGAAGGGACAAACCTATTTGGTGTAGTTTTGTCTTGTTTGTTGAGACGGGCTCACTTTATTTTAACGTAGCTGGCCTCAAACTCTTGGTAATCCTCCTGCCTCAGCCTCCCAGGCATTCACCACTGAGACCTGCTCAAATCTGTGGTTTTAAACCCCGATCTTTGTTCCCCAATTGCCATGGTACCCTTAGTTAAAATCAAGTTTTAAAAATGGGTTAGTAGGTGACACACACATCACCCCAGCCCTGGAGAGTGGGCTTCCAGCCTGTGACTTCCCTAACATGAGTCACTTCTGGGGTGGTTAACTTTCTTTACATACCCACCCTGCTACTTTTTTCCCATTCTCCAACTTCTCCTCCAAGTGGTCAACTTTAACCAAGGGGCAGAAGGGCAGAGAGAACGCTCCCCGGGGGTATTCCGCCCCACCCACCTTCCCCATGTGCGGTATTCTATACACACCAGGCCTTTGTCTGCGCTCTATTTCCTGAATATCCTTTTTCTCCCCTGAATGTTACTTATAATAATTTTAAGTTGTGCTTTAGGTCGGGCCATAAGGCTTGCTTTGCAAATTTTATAGTAGACGTAAATTAATCTCAGTTCCACCAAAGTACCTGTGTGCTAAGTTTTAACCACACAATCATGATTTTAAAACAATCCTTATTTTCCTCCACAAAATGAATTTTGTCCTCCACACATTAATCTCTCTCCACTCAATATGGAATCTAAGTTGAAATTTGACAGCAGTTCGCCCTCGGACTGCAGGTGACATTCACACCCGGGGTAAACAGATCAAACCAAGAACAGCCAAGTGGTGCGGGAAATGCAGACTACACCAAGAGGGGGCGCTGGACACCAGCCTCAACTCAGCCACCTTCTTTCTAGTTTTGCAACCCTGGATGGGTCCCAAGCTCTCTGGGTACCTCTTTGTCCTCTGCAAAAATGAGGTGACCTCAAATGGCTGTCGTGAGGACAACACATGCTGAAGCGAACAGAAAGTGTGGTTAACAGTGCCGGACAGACACATTTCATTATTTTCAGCTGTCAGAGTGGAACTGGCGCGATAAACAGTGTTTAGGGTTAATTAGAGATCACCTCTCATAAAGTAAATTAGTGTAGGATTATAAAAATGTACACTACAAGAAAATATGACACTGAAGCTGGGCATGGTGGTGCACGTCTATGAGGCCAGCACGTGGGAGGCTGAGGCAGGAGGATCACCAAGAGTAGGCAGCCAGCCCGGGCTACATAGTGAGCCCAAGGCTACTCTGAACTACATAGTGAGACCCTGTCTCAAAGAACCAAAAACCAACCAAAAAAACCCACACAAACAAACAACCCAAAAAAACCCAAGACACTGAGTGCTGTCATATTCACTTGAAATAGTGGGCAATTTATGCTTGTTCTAAAAATCATATGGAAAGGTACTGACTTGAATCTAAGCATTTAATAAAGTAGTTGAAAAGTGATGGAAAAAATCCACCCATCCTGGGCTACATAATGAGTGCAAGGCCAGCCTGGATTGCAGAGTGAGACCCTGTTTCAAAAACAAAACAAAACAAAACAAAAAAAACCCCAAAACAAAACAAAACAAACAAAGAGTAATGAGACAGGCCAGTACACACTTAACTAACCCCAGTGCTCTGGAAGACTGAAGCAGAGTATCAAAAGTCTGAGCCCATCTTGCGTAAACCAACAGCGAGATTTGTCTCTGAATAAAAAAAGGGCTAGGAATGTAACTCATTGTGAAGGTCCTGGGTTCAATCTCCAGTACCGGGGAAAAAAAACAAAAATTAATGGGACAGTGTGCAATGACAAGAAAGCCAGTATCAGCATCATGTTACTAAATGAACCAGCAAAAAGGACATTATACAACAGTCAGACAAACCTACCTTCCAATTTGCCAGTTTTTTAAATTCTATAATTTTTATAACTGCTCCCATGAGAATCCCTGGAAGAAAAAATAAAAAGGTTAACACAAACTTAAATATGAAAGCTCATGCAGGCTGATTATTCCAGAGAAAGTGAATACTATCCATTGTGTCTCCAAAGGGTTTCAATGGAGCTCTGCAAGTTTTCGGTCTGAAAATTTAACAGAAATCAGTGTAAAGTTTTATAAGTCACACAAGTTTGTCACCTGTATCTCAAGCAAACACAGAAATCCAGAGGTTTGCAAGGAGGGAAAGGCTTTACAAAACAAGGCCTAAGAGTCTCTGCCGGCCCGACGCGGTATCCATCAGTGTGTGCCCTGCTCTTTCTCATCCTTGCACCTCTGTTTCATGTGGCATGCAGAAGCAGTCGGGCACAGGTGGCACACATCTATAATCTCAGCACCCAGGAGGCTGAAACAGGAGAACTGCCACAAGTCTGAGGCCAGTGTGCACTAGATGGTAGTTCAAGGCCAGCCTGGAATACAGTGAGATCCTGTCTCAAAAAAAAAAGCAAGCTTACAAGCCAGATTTATCATTACAAAAAAAAAAAGCCCAAGCTCACTCTCTCAGATGCAGACTTCAGACGGCAGCTTTATGTTGAATATTTAAATTGGAGATAAAACCCAAATGCTGAAAATAACCCGAAGTAAAAGCTCTGTGAATTCCTGGAAGAGAGCAGCCTGCCTGAGTGCAGTGTGTTTCCATGAGCGTGACAGGCTCATCACTCTCCCCAGAGCACTCGCCAAAAATAATTCCTGATGAAGCAGCACAGATGTAAGTTGTGACTGCTTGGTTACTTGTTGGACAAATCACTCTTAACCCTGCTGGTTCACTGGAATCTCAACATCGGAGCTTTTTATAAAACAACGATGTCAGGAAGACTGCAGCCTATGAAGTCACTATCTGGGGAGGCGGTGGAGTGGGGCAGGGTTGGGGTGACCACGGAGGCCTGCGGATTGCGCCTCGGCCATGGTGCTCAGAGGAAGCTGCGCCTTCCAGGAGGAGCGTGTCCTGGCGGCAGCTGCAGAAAGGACCAGGCCAAGGGAGCCAGTGGACAGGCTTTGGGGGCAGGAGGTGTCCACTAGCTGCCAGGCGGCAGGCGGCACAGAGCCCAGCTCTCCTGCTGCAGTTCCCAACACTTCCTGTCCTCATCTTTTCCACCCTGTGTATTCTATTTTAAAAGGTTTTAAGACTTTTTATTGGTCTAACAGTGATGAATACCATGTAAAAATTTATAAGAAAAAAGCCCTCTCTGATCATATCCTGCCCTCACTCCAGTCTAAATGAGTCTGGAGACCATGTAGCACAGCTGCTTCTCTTCTTACACCCAGACGCTTACCGGCACACTACCCGGATGCAGATACATGAATGACACACTTGAGCACATTTAGGTAAAATTTATGGCCTTACAGTACAGCATTCTACTACTTGCTAGGTTGCTAGGTCCCAAAAATCTAATTGTGGATTATTAGCCGGTTTCCCCATTCCTTTTAACAGATTTACATGAAAATACTATAATATAAATACCTACTTCTCCAAAGAAGACACAAAGATATTCAATTCTCAGTACCAAAAAAAAAAAAAAAAAACCTCAAAAAACCCTAACACAGAAAATGATGCTCAATATAATAAATCATTAGGGAAGTGAAAATCAGAATCACAATGAGATACACTTCGCACCACCAGGACAGCTATAATAGTACTCTTTTTTTATTTTTTAAGGAAATTTGAGCTGGGCGTGGCGGTGCATGCCTGTAATCCCTGCACTTGGCAGGCTGAGGCAGGAAGATCACTGTAAATCAGAAGCCAGCCTGGGGTACAAAGTGAATTTAAGGCCAGCCTAAACTACATAGTGAAACCTTGTCTCAAAAACACCAAAAAAAAAAACAAAACAACAACAACAAAAATTAAAAAACAATAAAAACAAAACAAAAACAGAAGCTTGGCTCAGTGGTGCATGTTTGTAATCTCAGCACTTTTGGAGGCTGATGCAGGAGCACAGCAAGTTTGAGGCCAGCTTAAGCAATCTATAGCTCACTGAAAAACACTGGGTTTAATTGCCAGTACTCCAAAACAAAACAAAACACAGGGGGAAAAACCTCACACAAGAGTTGGCAACGATACGGAGAAATCAGTACCTTCATAAATGGCTGGCAGGAACTTAACAGTGTAGCTTGGCAATTCCTCAAAAGTTAAATGAAGCTACCAAATGACCCAGAAACTCTAACCAAGAGAGCTGAAAACGTATGCTTAGATCACATATTTTACCATCCATTTATACAAAATGTCCAGAACAGCCGAACATACAGGCAGAAATGGTTTCCTAGGCTTGAAGAGGTTTTAAAGGCTATGGTGGTTCCGTTTCAGGGTGAGGAAATGTTCTAAAATCAACTGTGGTAATGGCTGCACAATCCTGTGAATATTCTAAAGCCACTGAATCGTACCTTTAAAACAGGTGAGTCATATACTATGTGACCTACAGTTCAATAAAGCCCTTACGTACACCAAAAGCACTCCATGATTTCAGTTATATGCAATGTCCAGAATAACAAATTCAGAGACAGAAAGCAGCTCAGTGGTTTTCAGGGGACATAAGAAGAGGGAAATGGGAAGGGACTGTTACTGGGGATGGGGTTTCATTTTGGGGATAATGAAAATGTTCTGGAGCTAGAGGCGACAGCTACAGAATCCGGTGAATAGAGTAAAAACCACTTGTTAAAAACCCAACCGTAGGGCCGGGGATTTAGCTCAGTGTCATAAGCGCCTGCCTGGCAAGCATGAGGTCTTCAGTTCCATCACTGGTACCAAAAAAAAAAAAAAAAAAACGTAAGCCTGGCATGGTGGCACATGCCTGTAATCTTAGCACTCGGAAGGCTGAGGCAGGAGATCACTGTGAGTTCAAGATGAGCCTGGACTACGAAGTGAGCTCAAGGACAGCCTGAACTGCATAGTCAGACCCTGTTTCAAAAAGACAAACAAGCAACAACAGCAAAAAGCTTTAAAAACCCAACTGTACCCAGGTGTGGTGGCACATGCTTATAATTTCAGCACTTGGGAGGCTGAGGAAAGAGGGTTGCCATGAGTTCGAGGCCAGCCTGAACTATAGTGTGATCCTGTGTGGAAAAAAAAAGAACTATGTACTTTCAAACGGTGATGTTTATGTGATGTGAACCGTATCTTGATTTCCGACCACCTTTTTAACCACCTCCCCGTGGGCATGTCTCCACCTGCGTCCTGTGGGCAGCAGTGCCGCAATGAACATGCCAGAATGTTCCAGGGAGGCAACACCAGCAGCCACGCCTGCTGGATCATGAGAGTACTCCCGTCTGTAAAGATGTGGCCTGACTGGGGGCTGGGGATTTGGCTCAGCGGCATAAGCACCTGCCTTGCAAGCAGGCGGTCGTGAGTTCGATCCCTGGTACCAATAAAAAGTTAAATAAAAAAAAATTAAAAATTAAAAAAAAGATGTGGCCTGATCATCCCCCAGTGACCATGTCAATGGACAGTCCCACAGCCGTCCATCTTCCCCAAGGCTGGACCTGGATAATCACCAGATGTCAATGATTCTGCTGATTTGATAGTAAGAAACAGCACTTTAATGTGTCAATTTGCATTAGTTATTCTGGATTGCCAGAGGCGCTGAAGTGTTTTGGTTTCTGATTTCATTTTTTTTTTTTTCTGATTTCATTTTTAAAGCTGCTGTTTTTCTGCTCTGCTAAAAGCTTCACTTTCTTTTCCCCTTACAGAAGCGCGCTACACTGTTAATATCATGAAAATGCTTTCATAATTACACACTCAACAGTTATACCTAAAATAGTGATTATCCTACTGTCCAAGCCTGTGTCTATATTACTGTTTATGATGTGCTAGGAAATTCTGTAAAATATGATGTGATGCTATTACTACTACATGAGAAATCCTTTCAAGATTGACCCTAGGATTAAAAGTACGATGTCACATGAAACTGGCTAACCTGTTTACTGTTTTCATGTTTTTGTCACTTTGTCACAGTGGAGACTGAACCTAGGGCCACTGCACTGAGCTGCATCTCCAGCTCTGCATTCTCCTCCTTCTTTTTTTAAAATGTTAAGAAGTAACCTTGTTAAAATGCTCATACTGTATTCAAACTTGTGATGCCCCTGCTCAGCCTTAAACAGTGCCTGCATTACAGGTGTGTACATGACCTGCTGCAGAGGAAATGAATTTATAATCACAACCCTGGCCACCAGATAGTTTTCATACATTCCTGCTTGTAAAAATAAAAGTATACTCTCAAATTACAAATTTTTATATTATCATTTTATAAAAGTATTACTTTGATCCCCAGTACGAAAAAAGAAAGAAAGATAGAAAGACTCCTGCTGGGCTCGGTGGCGGATGCCTATAATCCCAGCAATCAAGTGTTGAGGCATGAGGAGCATCGCAAGTTCCAGGCCAGCCTAGACTACATTGTGAGACTGTCTCAAAAAGCCAAAAAACAACAAAAAAAGTGCTACAATGTTCATGTTTTCTGTTTTTGTCCTTGAGAGGAGGTCTTGGAATGTTGCCTAGGCTGGTGTCCAACTCTTAGGCTCAACCAACCCTCCTGCCTCAGCCTCTTGGGTAGGGAGACTACACCACTGTGCCTGCCTTTATACTAATATATTAAAAAAATTTAAAACTTATAAAAGTGAAATTAAAGAATGAATAGAAACACAAATTGCACTATTTTCTTTTGCCTCCAGAAGCTCTTCCTGCAGACAGCTCCTAGGGACACCTCCAGCCTTCCACAAGGTGTCTGTCCGACTCCTTCTCCAGGCTTTGTCTCTATGAATAATCTCTAACCCTCTAGACGTCACCTGGGAAGGAAGGCTGGGAGCTTAAGTAGCTTGTGTGCGTGCTGGGGCCAGGAGGGGGGCTCTGTGTGTGTGAGAGGTGGCCTGCTGGCTCCTCTCCCCAGTGAAGACACAGGGAGAAGCTGCACGCCTGTGCACTGCTGGCTGCCTCTAGCCCTGTAAAACAGCGGGTCCCAGGTCCTCAA